TTTTGATTACTATAGTCTATGAGTCTATGCAGTCATACAGTATTATAACTGAAAAGTTTTATTAAACCGCAAGTTTGACGGACTATTGTGGCTTGTAGGGATACACACTATACAACAACGGAAAAGCGTGCGTTAACTCGACTACCTACATGGAATTTATTTATCGTTATTGTTAAATTTTGTATCGTTACTAGCTTGTGTTACAATATTACATACCAACCAAATAGAATATATATTATTAAAATAATAAATTGATAAAAATTAAACAACAGCTGTTAAATTCCAAAAGAAAATTATCGACATGCAAGTTTTACATCCTTTCAATATAATTTATTAAATTAAAATACAATCATACATTTTAATCTATAATATTTAATAAAAACATATCTTTTGTAATAGTTTTATTTTATTTCATAGCTGAATAAATAGGTGTATACAAAATATCTTGATAGTATAGATAGGTAGTCCAATATAAAAAAAAAAATCAACACGAATAATTTGAAAAAAAATCAGTGAGGTAAATGTTAGTGACTGATTTAATTTATGAATTAAATTTGTATATGTTTGCAAATCATTAATCTACCTATTATTATACCAATCGGGCAGTCAACCTATAATAAAATGAAACATTTTTTAATTGCACAACACGTGATTTTAAAGTAAAACTGATAATAATTAGATAAAGGAAAAATATGTATTATATATTTATATAATATAGGCCATTTTGATGGATAAACCCAAACTAGCAAAGCGGCTTACGCTGTCCCCGTTTTTTATCGTTATATTTATTAGAATAAATCATTTCTATCGCGTAAAATAATACAAAAAGTATAATAATTCAAACGGATTGAAATTTGAAAAAACTTATGATAAAATAAATATTAAAGTATATAACGTAAATATCATTATGGTTGTAAGTACTTACCTAATCCGTGGCGTATTTCCCAATAAACAAAGTAAGCACATGCTTACAGCGGCAATATTTTGGGGACAGTAAATTTGCGTCGTAACTCGTAATGATATTTTTTCTCTTACAAATTTGTAAAAATTTGGAAACATATTATACGTAACAAACCTTGCTCATATTTTAAACTGTCAGAACTCAGAACATGTCAAATTTGATTGAAATACAATTAAAATTGTAGATAAAAAATTATAGGAGCCTTCCAGTATCACCAACATAGTCACCGCCGCCTAAAATTACGGTATTTTTCAATTTTTGTCATATTTCATATTTAAATTATATTTTCGTAATAAAGATTAGATAGGTAATCATTAATCAATATGTTATTCGAAACTGACTCCGCGTGAAGCCACTTTGATTATTTTCTTTGTATCTATTCAATGAAATAGGTAATTATATTATTTTTAGTTATCTATCTTTATTATTTTCTTTATTAAAACGCATCAAGAACTATTTAACGTCCAATATGAATGAGAATATATTTAAATTATTGAGTTTATTAACAATAGAGACAGAATTAGTAAACAAAATTGATTTCGATGATGTAGTTAACGATTTTGAAGCTCAAAAATAACACTAAAAACCATTAAGTGTATAAATTAAAAAATTATTAATCTAGATAGAGGTACCTACATTATTAACATTCTTAAAAAAATATAATATTCCACGGTATAGCTTTTCTTTTTTATTAGCACACATTTCATTAGGTATAAATATAATATATTTGTAACATACGTCCATACAACCATACATAATATATAATACTTACATGGGTCATGTACTCGTGTATTAATACTATATTTTTATTTCATATTTATAGTTTGTAATATTTGAGAAAAATGGTCAATAACATGTACGTTTTACCAATATACCTAATTCTTATTATTTCTATACTATATTATAATTTGACGGTTTCAAAAATAACAAAAGTTTTTATAAAAGTATAAATTAAAATTATTTAAATACCTAAAAAGTCAAAAATTTTTTTTTATGCTTAGAGCAGCACAGTAATTAAATCCGATACTGTACCTAATAAGTAATAACTAATAACTATCATAAATTATTGACAGTGCGTATCTGTATTCCGTACATTGTATTTCTCGTATTGGTACAATATGGGTAGATAGTGTGCGTTAGACCGAAGTAGTTAGATCGATTCTTGATTGATGTTTTGATTATGATAGCAACTCACAGGGCAAAGAGAATATCAATTAAATAGATTTCTTAATTATAATAAAATATTATGAGTCTTAAAATTATTCGCAACAATGAAGTATGGTTAATTGTTGAATTTGAACATCTACTTTTTTTTTGATTTTATTCTTTAAATTCCAATAACTAATTTTTCACTCAATCAAAAACCTTGAACAGCTAATAAATCTTTAACCAATATTTTTATTTGCATAAATTATTCTAATATCATAGTCAATTCTTCTACGTTTTTGATGTATTATATTATAACCAATTGATAAAACGTTAATTGAATACTTCATTACAATTTTTACAATTTTTTAAAGAGTAAAATATTGACTATTTATATTTTATTACAATTCTTATTTATAAACAATTTTGAGAACATTAGTTAACATATTTTTGTAAGTTATGATAACATAAAATGCAATACCCATTTAAACATTTAAATACAATTAATTTTAATAGTAAAACAAAAAATTAAGTATCTAAAAAATTATTTGAAATATTTTTTTTCATGTTTTTTACTCAAATATTGTGGATAAATAAGTATTTAAAAATATTCTTAACAGCCCTATATATAGCTTAATAAAGAAAGATATACACAAAATATTATGTCTATGTATAAATACCAATATAAAAATCATTGTAATAGTTAATACTTGGTAATATCAAGAAAACTATAAAATCTATCCAAGCCATATAAATATATTATATTTAATTAGTGTTCTTATTGATTATTGTTTTAGCGCTTCTATAAAAAAAAAAATTGAATATACAATTAATTTTATCATTTCATTGATTTTACAGATATTGGGTATAATACTAAAATTAGCAAATTAAATATTGTACATTCTTCAAAATCATATTGCTGCTTTAAATTTTGATGTATAATAAATTGTTGTGAATGTTTAAATAAATAGTTTGTGTTTTGAAATTGTGGCTGGTAAATTTTCCAGTTTTTCAATAAATATGAAAAATTATTATTTTCCTAACTTATTTATATTAGAAAAAGTATAAAAGCAATGAATTCAATTACTCAAATATTTTACAGCACTGATAAGAAATATATCATATTTTAAGCACCCAACCAAAGTATAAAAAACAAATCAAGCTAAACTAAAAACTAAAATTATAAGACTAATTTTTTTCAATCTTTTGATCAAATCTTAAATGTTTTTACCACATAATAATTGATTTGCCATTTAGTGGGTCTGTTTAACCACTTAGTTACACATTTTACTATTCTTACTTTTATTATTATTATTAATTATTATTATTATTGATGTTATTAAGCCTGGCACTAAGACCATTAGCTGTGTATAGAAACAGGTTTTTTTTTTTTTGTTGTGTTAAGTTTTTTTTTGCTTGTAAGGTTCATTTAGTAATGTTGGAATACGTGTATGTATGTGTGCACACCATGAATTCATCATTAAGAACTCAAATGGGTGACCATCTGAAAGCTAGCGGCGATACTTGATCTCAAAACACATTATTGACTGAGGCCAAACATTGCGCCACACTATTTTTAATATCAGAGTAAAAAATTACTATTTACTAAGTATTATTATATTAGATTATAAAGAAAACAATATAGATATCAATACATAATATAATAAATAGAACACAAATGTTGATGACCAAAATTAATAAAATTATACCTTAAAATCTATGAAATATATTTTCAAAGTATATGAAAAATTGCAAAATAAAGAAACTAACAATAGCAAAATATATTATGTGTATTTTAAAAAAAGGATTTGAAATTTTTTCATTAAAAATTGAAAAAAAAATTATAGGCAATTTTACATAACATAAATACAGTTTTTCATAAATTAATTTAAAATAAATAAGTATATTAAATATTTGGAGTATATAGAATCATTTTAAAATTTAAGACATTTGATGATCCAACTATATATTTTTATAAATCTAAAAATATCGCTCTATCACCAATTCAACTAAGATGAAAACTACACACTTATATATAAGAATATGTCATCTAACTGGAGAATATGCTACTAAATTTAGAAAATATAATTATAATAGACTAAAAAATTTCAAATATTTAAATATATGAAATATAAGGTTACAGATTTGAAATCTACACATCATGAAACTAATCTATGTCATGTTTTGGTATAATTATGGTTGGCTTAAAGGTATGATGTTATCAACATCAAAGTTAAAGTAACGATTTAAAAAAAATAAAACTTAAATAGTTTAATCTTAGTAAGAATAATTAAAAATACTAGTTAGTTAGTTAATTTTTTTTTTTTACTGACTAAAAATATTTACTTATAAAATAAATTCATAGATGATTAAGTTATTAAATATGAAGTTTCTTAAACTTAAATATTTAATTTAAAAGGACTTTTATGTATTTTAAACTTCTGAATCTTAAAAAATAAAATAAAAATGTTAGTTATACATTGAGTAATGATGTCATCAATATTAAGTTACTTTTATTTTTTGTTGATTAAGAAAGTAAAAAAATCTTTTAATGTTCAAAGTATTATTTATACTCCATATCTAATGTCATTCAAAGTGATTGTTTTTATATTTACTGAAAACATAACAAATGTTTTATTTAAATAATTTTATTCTTTCTAATAATTAGTGAAAATATTTTTATTCCACAAGAGTTTAAACAATGCAAAATGATTATGTATTACAATGCAAATTATAATTATGAAAAATGTACATCAGGAAAATAATAAGTACATACTACATATTATAATACGTGCTAAAAATTAAAATACAAAAATGTTTTCTTTAGTGAATATTTAGTTATAATATAATTTAAGTTTTAATATTTTTGAAAAAGTTCTTATGGTATTTTTTCCATGTCTTCATATCAAATCAGCAACTAAAAATAAAAGCAAAATTTTAGTTTAAATTATAACAATAATTATTATTGAAAGTTTCAATATATACTATAGTTAATATGATTTTTATGATAAATAAAAACTAAAGGTACAGTCCAAAGTTATGCATATAAAATTATTAACTGTTAGTGTTTATTATTTTTTAAATTAATGTTAGACGATATTTCATAATCTAGAGTATAGTAACTATATGCTTTACCATTCATCGGCATTTCATCAATTTGTGTGGAGTAATATTGTTCAATATCACGTAAAATCCTTATGTCATCACTTTTAACAAAATTTATTGCCACACCTTTGCGACCAAATCTTCCAGAACGGCCAATTCTACAATTAAAACGATTGTTACTTCATTGCTTAACAGATTATAACTAATAAATTATGTTATAGAACAATTAAAAAAGTAATACAGGGAAAGAATACACTGGTAAAAAAAATTGTATTATAAATATTAATTATATTTTATATTATTAGTTAACAACTAATATAATTTACCTGTGTATATACAATTCACGGTTGTTTGGTAAATCATAATTTATAACCAAAGAAACTTGTTGTACATCTATTCCACGAGCCCAAATATCTGTTGTAATCAAAACTCGCCTATATATACATAATAGCAATAAATTAGAAAAATATCAAACAGCTTCTCTCAAAATACTGTAATTTTTGAATCACTTACGTTTGTCCAGCACGAAATTCTTTCATAATAGCATCCCTTTCTTTTTGAGGCATGTCTCCATGCATTGAACTTACAGTAAAATTTGACTCCCTCATTTTTTCTGTCAACCAATCAACCTAGACAATTGAATTCAATGTTACTCGTTAATTATAATTAGTTTAATTACTGATGACTAACCTTCCTCTTAGTACTGCAAAAAATAACTGCTTGAGTTATAGTTAGTGTATCATACAAGTCACATAAGGTATCAAATTTCCATTCTTCACGTTCAACTGCTACAAAGAACTGTTTAATTCCTTCAAGTGTCAATTCATCACTACATAATAAATTGATTAATTAAAAACTTAAATCAACATATTTTTAATCAAATATACTAACAAATATAATCAAGTATACTAACCGTTTCACTAAGATTCTGATTGGATCAGTCATAAATTTGTTTGTCATTTCTAATATTTCGTGTGGTAAAGTGGCTGATATTAGAATAACCTATAAAATAAATAAAATTATAAAAATATTTTATTAGTAATAATTAATAATTAATTATAAATTTTAAAGTAGGACTTAATTTTACAAGAACATTATAGTTTAAGTAATAATAACTTCATAGTTATAAAATAAAAATAAATTAGGTTAAAATTATGTGGATAGTACAAAAATACTAAATAAAAAACTATATTATTGTGCTCAATAATAATCAAATCATACTTGAGTAGCAGGTGGCAAGAAACGATAAACATCATATATTTGTTCTTTAAATCCTTTGTTTAACATTTCATCAGCTTCATCCAACACCAACGTCTTAATATTACGAGTACGCAATGCTTTACGTCTAATCATATCTGTTAAAAAATTTTAATATATTAAAAATAACTCATGATTAAAATTCTTATTACATACCAAACACACGTCCAGGAGTACCAGAAACAATATGTTGCCCAAAATCCAATTTTCTTAAGTCTTCTCCGAGATTAGTACCACCAATGCACGCATGGCACTGAACATTAAGATAATCGCCCAACGCCAAAACTACCTGAAATATATTAATTAAGTTTTACTTTAAATTAAATAATTATTTCAAACTAGACAAATTACTTTTTTTTTTTAATTTGAAATAATAAAAAAAAAAAACAATAAAGTTTTATATTGTATGTCATGTCATATAAATGAATAGAATTAAATATTATTATTTATTAAGAACAATAATCAAAAAATAATCATTTATATCAAAATCAAAAAAATAGGGAGAAAGTAGGTAACTGCTTTACTATACAAAAGTTGAGTGTAATTTGTCATTGAGTGGGTCGTTAAAATGAAAATATTAAATTAAAATTAATTGATTGTAAACGAAGAACAATTCTAAGAAGAAATTCTCTGTTGGCCTATAACCATATAAATATGTAGAGCCGTTGGTTACTATAGTAATTTATTCAACTAATAATATGATATAAATTATAAATAGGCAATAACATAAAATTAATCAAATTGTTTAAAAAATATCATGATGTACATAAAATATAACAAATTATATACAGGTGAAAGTTTCATATCCCAAAAAATTTATTTTTGAATTATAATAAAATAACTAGAATCATTACTTTTTGTTTAGACATCAAATTAATTTTATCTAAATTTGAAATTCAATATTTATAAAAAAAATAAAATCAAATTCATATATTTTTCTAGATTTTTTGGTTCTACCACTGATTATTTATGAGTAATCTTATGTACAAAATTCAAATTTTAGATATGAAAATTAAAAACTTGTAACTACAAATAATATCTATATTTTCACAATTTTAATGAATTTTTCAAAATTCTAACTCTAAATACTTTTAAAAACATTTTATGACTTTATATTTTAGTAAATTTTTAATCGGTGTATGAATAATTTATGAAAAACCCAACAATAACATTTATTAAGTGTTGTACAGTGAACATTTTTTTATAGACATTTATAGAAGAAATATTAAAAATAGCTCAAAAACCAACAGAATATTTTGAAAATGTTATCATGTATAAAAAATGCTAATAAAAATATTTAGTGAAAAATTAAATTATTTAAGGTTATTTATTATTTAGTAACACCAAAAACAAAATGTATTTGTCAAAAACTAGTTTTGCATGAAAAATCCTGTTTGACAATATTATTTTTTTAAATACAAGAAATTTTTTGATTAGCCTTTCTATAATATTAACTTAATCTATTAAGTTAATCTTCCAACAAAAAAATCAAAGCTTTATTTTTTTACTATAAATGGAATACACATACATAAAAATATATATTATTTAATTATTATAAGATCCATACATTAATTGTTTTGCTCAAAGTTAAAATATATATATTCCACAAAATAATTTCTATATCAATGCACATAATTATTACAAATTATATATTAATACATAAACTATCAACATTTAAAAAATAATATTTTAAAATATTATCTTCTATAACAAACTCAGTTAGGTCATTTTATTAATTTCCAGATCATTCATTAATGCAAAAAACAAATTGAAAAAATATAAGCAAAAAGTACAAGTGTGGTATACATTTATACTTTTCAATCTTCTAAGAAATACATTTAAATATGCTTTTTCAAAATTAAATATTCTTTTCATGCATAAAAAGAAAAATTACTTTTCTATAAAATATAAATATGTAAAATTATTAAAAGTATATATCTATACAAAAAAAAAACATTCTCTTTTAAACAAATTGTTGACATTTCTTACATCTACCTAAATTTCTACATTAAAAAAATATATGAAAAAACAAACAAATCTGCATTCTAACTATAATATTTCAATTGTATCAAAGATCATATTAAATGTTGATAGTAATTTTAATTAAGATAGCAAATTTTATTAGTTATGTCTGGAAATCACATTATATTAATATAGATAATTATTTTTTTATTTTGTATAACCTACACTAGAAATGAATGGGAGGGAGGGGTGACAATATGCAACATCATATTACATTAATAGATTTTATTCTAAAACCAGTGATATCTGTTTAAACAACAGTTTAAGAATCTATTCAAATCATTATAGATTTATTTCAAAGTAAGATTGTCATTTAAGACTTAAATTACATTAAATGTATGTAATTTTGATTTTTATAAATAACCATTTTTAAAATTTTAAAATGTTTCTCTATAATTAATGATAATTTGGATATTTTAAGTTACTTATTATTAATTTAACTGTAATTTTCTGTTAAATGATAACTTATTTCGAGAAACATCACAATCTTGTAATTCAGGTTACCAAAATTTGCTACTATCTTATTATAATAGACTGACTTATTTTTTTATTTTTTTTGATAAATTATTCTTAGTTTTTTATATAATATTTTACATACTTAAAATAATATGTTAAAAAGTTAAGTTTTATTAAGATAATAAATTAAATTATGATGTAATGTTATAATATTATGTATAAAATGCCTAATATGTTAGTATAAATATTAAATGCAGTCTTACTGCTACTTTAGTTTTAAATAGGGATTAATAATATTTAATAAATACAAATAAAATAAATCAATTTTGAATCTTGAAGTGATTACATCATAATTAATGCAAGACTGCAAAACTACTTTTAACTAACAATTAAATACAATGTATTGAAAAAACTTTTGGTAATCCTGATATAGAATGTAGTCTTGGGCAGTAGTCACAATAATCATTGTAGTTTCAATAGGAAAGTACTAATTTATCATAGTTTTATTGCATAATTAACTATTTTATTTAGCATGCGAGTCTCAATTATCTATTTTGATAATAAATTATTGGGTAAAACCCTATGATAGTAGAAAGCTGTACGAACAGATAAAATATTTAGGTAAAAAAAGCATGTGATCATGTACCTTTTGGATTTGTACAGCGAGCTCTCGAGTTGGCGATAAACATAACACTTGTGTATCTCTTAACTGGCTGTCTATAGATTGTAACATCGCAATAGAAAATGTGGCTGTTTTACCCGTTCCTGATTGAGCCTGAGCAATGACATCGCGCCCTTTGATCATAGGCTTAATGGCTCTTTGTTGGATCGCTGATGGACGTTCAAAACCTAAAAGAACAACAATAGCATTACACAACGGTGTTAAATGTTAATGCGTAATGACCATGAATGGTAATAAACTACTTACCGTATGAGTATATTCCACGAACCAAGTCTTCCCGAAGCTTCATATTATCGAATGTCGTAAGTACTTCGACATCTTCACTAGTCTCGAACTCGACGTGCGATAAATCTTCGGTCAGTTGTCCTGTCCGTCTAGCTGCCATTTTTTAAGTTAGGTATAGTATTTGTTTTCACCGTTATAAAATTATCAACGAGCAGTCATCTGCTAAAACAGCAATATAAAAATGAACGTAACGTCAACGAAAAGTCAAAAGGCACAAAGATTTAACTTCAAAACGCTAAACTGGCTACAGCATTCATTCGACTAAATGCTCAAAAAATGAGGTATTGTTGACAACAACATTTTAGCGTGTGTTCAAGGTGATAAGAGGTTACCTACACTGGACCGGGCTAACAATTTAGAAGGCCGATGTTGTATACCGTATCTATTTGGCGGTAAAAGTTTGATATTCAAATATATATAATGTAATATGAAAAATATGGACTATAGTGCGGCTATAGTGTGGAATTACTGGAATTAGACTACAGTTTACTAGAAATATAAAATATAATTATTATTTTTTGTCGTGAATTATTATATCATAATACACAGTTTGTCCAAATACTTCCGTATTATCATTATAGAGTACCTAAGTACATAATAATATATAAAATAGGTATCTTAAAATTTTCGAAGTGAGTCAGTAAAGATATTTTTTTTTTCAACAGTAATCATTATAAAAATTTCAAAAAACATTTTGATACAATTTAGTCTTTAAAATTTTAAAATAATTATTTTATATTATATTTAAACAACTAGTTGTATAATTATTTTCTCAAACATTTTAAGATTATTTTATGAACTGTCATCAAATTGAATTTTTGTTATTGATGAAAAAAATATCATTAAAATAAATTGATTTGCCACAGGTGTAGATGATACTATCATACTGGTCTTTCAAGTTAGACTGTATAGATGCATACATACTTCATCCTTGAGAACTGTAGAAAAATATCCAAATTAAAGTATATTTTAATATAATCCAATATTAGGTATACCTGTTGATAAACAATTTTAAAACCTTTACTTATCCATAGTAATACCTCCACTTGAACATATACGGATAAAATGGTTTTAGTTTTTTAAATAGTTGTGTAGGTATTTATTCAAGAAAAATTAAATTAAATTAATTAAGTACATTAGTACAGTACATGGAATTTGTTTTATGTGTATAATATACAATATAGTAAGAATAACTAGGTAGAAAACAGCCAACAGGTACTTACTTTTTAGGTAGGTATAATAATGATTTAAATGATTGATTTGTTCTAGCTATAGAGAAATCATTGGGTTTTTTTATGACACTTGAATATACATAATACATGATAATAGTGTATAAGATATGCGAATCTATGAAATTTAAAATACCTACAGATTCTTTAAGAAAAAATGTTATAACTCATAACAAAAAATGATTAAAATTGTATCTAAATTTGAAATTCAATACCTACTTTATTTAAAAATCAAAAACAAAATTTATGAGAACAATAATTTTTGGTATAGTATTTAACATTTAATTAGGAATATTATTTTCATTTTTCATGTAATATTTTATTTCCTCCATTCAGAATTTAAAACAGTATTTTATAAGAATGATTTTTGAATATAAGAACATTTTTAATTCACTATTTACATACATTTTTTAAGACTAACATTGAATACATCAGCTAATCAACTTTAAGTATGTAGTTGTTTTTAATTTATAATTAATATTAGAAGAAAAAAATCAAATAAAATTGGATTTGATAATGCTAAATGTTATTGTAGTAGTCTAACTAAATTAATGTTATAGAATTGATTTCAAAAATTGGCCAAAATAGTTATAAAATAACTAGAAGAATTAAGACCCCTTAAAGAAGTGATATATCTGATATAAAACACGTGTAATGTATTTAATTATTATTATTATTATGTAAACGTTGAAGTATTATACATAAATAGATGCAAGTAGGTTTTATTATTTTTACTATGATGCAGTTTGAAAATAATCTATTTTCCACCCTTTCATTAAGCAAATATGTTATAAGTAATAATAATAATATACAACATCTTTAATGGCTATAATTTTAAATTCTTTAATATTAATTATTTACCTTAAATATGTACAGAATGAAGGTATGATTTAATTTATTTAAAACTACAATTTTTCATAGGTATATTTAAAATTGTAATATCATACTAGACAAATAGAAAATTAAATACATATAACTATATAGCCAAATGTACATAGCATATTTTAAAAAATATTAAAAAATATAGTTTGATTTTATTTTGTATCATTTATATTAAAATTATTAATTTTCATAGATACTTCTTGAATTGTTAAGTAGTAGTGTGATAAATTGTAATGACTATTATTCTTATAGTCATTCTGATTGATCACATTTTTGTTGTAATAAAAAATCATTGTTTTGTATGTTTTAAATTTAGTAATAAAAAACATGTATGCCAATATGCAAGAAAAACTTACAAAATACGCATTAAAAGTTGTATAAAAAAAAAAAATTATTCTAAATTCCAAAAGAAAAGATTACATCAAATGTTGTTGATAAATTAATAAAATAATAATATACATAAAAACTGTTTAAAACTGAAAAAATTATAACTGGTTAACATTTTGATATCTTATTGAACTGAACATATAATTAAAAATATTTTTTCAATATTTTTGAAATCACGATAAATACCTTTATTGATAATTTTTGAGCTTTATATTCAATATTAATTAAAATATACAGGTTGAGAAAGATTTTCTTTTGAAAATGAAAAATTTTCAATTTTTAACTCTTCATTGTACAGTTTAGATTTCTAGCTTAGTCTGCTATAAATGAAGAATATGCAATTTTTACAACTTTCGAGCCCTGGTAATAACATAAATAAATTATTCTAATAGTTTATTACCTAATACCTGTATATACTTAACTGTAAAAACTGTACAATTTTGGATAATAATAAATTCGAGGAAGAAAAGAAATAACAACAAAATCTCCGTTTTTTATTATTATTCAAATTATTAAAAATTGAAGCATTTTGATCTTCAAAAAATAGCAGGAGTGGCTTTTTGTATGAATACCAAAAAAAACTGTTCCTGACCCAAAATTGGGTAGATGTGTATTTATTACAGTAGCTAATACAAGTTAAATCCCTTCATCGAATATTCATTATATAAGTACCTACACAAACAATTTAAATTATGGAGAACCCAAAAAATTGCATAGATCCTAGTAAACTTAATAAGTAGGTGAATGTATGGTGGTTTATGAATTAGACTTCTCGAGTTTAACATAGTTATTTAAGCCATCAGTGAAATGTTATGATGCATTTCACTCAGAACATAAAAAGTTTGTTCAATGATTAATAGTATTTATTTTATATTTATTGTAACATTGTAAAAATGTCTCTACAAAGTTAATAATTGCAATATTGGTAGTAACTAAACTAATATGTTTTGTTAATTTAACTTTTCATAATGCTTTAAAAATATCATATGATATCAGGATGTTATTATTTATAATTTGATGTTAACTGTAATTTGTTAATAACGCATATTTTAATATATCTACTAACCTACCTATACTACGTTTATAATATATGTATATGATATATTTATATATACTCATTTTATATTATCTTCAGACGGTTCTTATTGTGATATGTTATATATATAATGTCCGTGTGGGTCAGTACATGTGTATGGGTGTGTGTGTGTGTGTGTGTGTGTGTGTGTGTGTGTGTGTGTGTGTGTGTGTGTATGTGTTGTGTGTGATGCCTGCCAGCTCAGTAGGAATACAGCGCCGGTGACGCAACTGTATGGGACCCTGGTTATTTGGGGCAGAAAAACAGCGATTTGTCCTACACTAACATGCACTGCACTACACTACACCGGAATACTGTTTGTATTATTATTATTATTATTATTTTGTACGATTACACCAACAACGTGGAGGCGAGAACATTTCACACCTCCACCAAAATGGAGGAATTAATGGAATGATCTCATATATTTTTTATTGAAAAAACCGGGAAGTCGCTCTGCTGTATAGTAAATCATACATAAACACTTATGCTATTTCATCGACTAATAGCCATTCTTTTACATTTATTTACATGTAATAAATGTGTTAAATTTGAATTCAATGATAAGTTATTATATACAGAAATGATTTTAAGGCCGAGACGGTCGACAGCCTTTGTTTATCAGGATGTATTCTTAATTCTTATATATTACAAGTTTAGATTTTTATTAATAAGTAGGTATAAACAGTGATATACTGATATAGGTAGTCGTAATTTTTTTTGTGAGTATACGCTTAAATGTACTCGACATATAAAAATATTTTTTATTTATAATTATAATAGTTGCATAGATACACTATATCAATATATTACTACCCTGCCGCAATTGAGCTTCTACAGTCTATAATCATACTCCTAAAAAAATATTATATATTTTAGCTTTTTATGATTACCTATCTATATTATGACTCACAGACAGTAACTAATTAAGTGATATTAATTTTTAAAATTTATAAAATAAAATGTATAGTATATTCTTTGAAATCACTTTAGGTACCAACTACCTATAGGTTAACAGTTTACTGTTAAATTTGGTATTTATTTAGAAACTTAATATGCTTTTAGCTTTAAAACATATAAACAAATAAATAAATTATATAATTTTCCACAGACTAGCCTTTTCTTCGTTTAATTTCTGAAATACAATTTTCGAGTTAAATTTGAATAGAGTTACATTTACATATATGAATATAAATTGAATACTAAATTTTTATAATACTGGTTTTAGTAAGTATTCGATCATTTCGATCCATGGTCGTGTATATTTAAAATCTCATTTTTTCTTCCCCAGTGGAGTAATGTATGGAGAATATTTATTATAAAGATTCTTCACTTATCTTTCGAAGAACTTGTGATCCAAAGCTGTGTCTTGCAAGACTTGACTTGGTAGATATTGAAGACCAAAAGAGTAAAAGGTATGTTGAAATGATGTACTCAACAATTGAGAGATACCTATAATTATAATTAGTTAAATTTATTTTACTTATAAAACAAATGCATAGAAAAACGGTACAATTTTTTAAATGATGTTGGGTGAGCGACCGAGTGTTGATTGTCGTATCGATCTTTATAGATGTTGATAATATGCCGCCTTTAATCGTATTCGAATTTGCGGATTACGGCATTATTCATCGTGTGTGTGTATGTGTATCAGTGTATTTACCTAATATCGACTATCGTGTGTCATTATTATTTTACTAAATAATGTGTGTTTGTACAGCTGTAAAAATACTATTCTATTCATTTTCTTAAATCTTAGGTAATTTAATTAATAATAATATAATTTTTGTCAATTTATGATTATACAGCTGTAAAGATATTGTTCTGTTCATTTCCTTAAATTTAAAGTAATTTAATGAATATTAATATATTTTTAGTTAATTTATGTTTATACAGCTAAAAATATTGTCTATTATCTATTCTATTTATTTTCTTAGAACTAAAGGTAATTAAATAAATGATAAATAATGATGCATCAGAATGTGTATATCATTACAATATATTAATATATATATATATTTTTTTTGTAAACACAATTGAGCTTTTAAATTTATTAACATTTTACTAATTGATATAAAACAAAATAAAATAACTATTGTATATTATTTGTATTTACTTCAGTAATTATTGTGTACCTACCAATATAATTTAAATTACAATCAATTTGATTTTAACAAGAAACATTATTATTTGATAAATTACTTTTAGTTTTTAACATACCTAATAATAATATCATCATTATCAATACTAAATAAAACATTTTTTTCGATTGCCATCATCATAAATGCGTTCAATTTTTCTTATTAAAATAATCAGAAATCTGGGGTTTTACGTTTAATAATAATATTACATACTTGATACCTATTAGATAATATTTTAATTTATGATTTCAAAATAATAATATTAATAAATACATATTTTATACGAGCAGCAGCCCACCGGGAAAGTCCCTTATTGAATAAACCTAATATTATATAATTAATAAAATAATGTTTTAACAAAAATATAAAAATATACAATCATGTCTATCTATTATTTATTTTTTAAGTGATAAATACATTGTAATAATAACAATCTCTCACAAAGCTTTGGATCCGTTTGATAAGCTTAGAATTTAGTTATTTAATTTACATATATATATATATATGTGTGTGTGTATGAACAGACGATACCGCGTAAAAATTGCATCCAGACGTTTGTGGCACTCTGCTATAAGTTTTAATGATATTACAATTGGCACATATATTCTGGTTTTAAATCGACAGCCGTGTAGCTTGTCATCACAGTCATCATCTGTATAATAATTACCATGGTTCACGAATGAGAATTTACGTAGTAAATCTTTGTCACGTATCCATTTTATAGCCTCCAAAGATCCTCTCTCGTCATACAACACGCTAAGCCATACACATGCATTTGTAGATACTAATATTGTAGATATTAGATATTAGATTATACTTTTACATTATAAAAAGAAAAATGTTAATATGATTCTATCAAAGTATAGTAATTATAGCAATCTGACTATAGCCATAGTGCATTTTAATATAGATATTGTAAAAAACAATAATGACTGTATAAATAACAATTTTATTAGTAGTATCATTGATTAATGATTAAAAATATTATATATTATCTAATATTAAATATTAATATTTACCTTTAATCAATGGTAGTTTATTACATACTAATCACATATGGCATAGATAATATTATTTACAATGATTAATAGAAATAGAGAAACAAATATTCATAAAGTTTTGTTTTTGTAGAGCGTGTTTGGTAACTATGTACAAGGATTATAAGACTAATATTATTTTAAAATATTGCTAGCAGTATTTATTTTCTAAAATGAATACTTGGAGCAATATCAGTAATGAAACTGATGAAAACCTTAAAGAAGAAGGAAATCGCTTGTTCAAAAACAAACAATATGAAGATGCTATTCGGTGTTTTAGTTTAGCCATTGTAAGCGTAAAGTTAGTTATTTTGTATTCATTATTTGTTTTGCTAAAACTGTTTTATGTCTAGTTAAAAAACCCAGAGGTTCCGAAGTATTTCACCAATCGTGCTTTGTGCTATTTTAAAATAAAAAATTGGGATAAAATGTACAGAGATTGTCGTCGTGCACTAGAAATTAACCCAAATATTGAAAAAGGATATTTTTATCAGGGATTATCACTAATTGAAATGAGAGAATATGATGAAGCCATAAAAAAATTACTGAAAGGTATCAAATATATGGCTAATTATTTTTATAGCATTCAATTTGATTTGTGATTTGTTTTTATATTAAGCCCATACTTTAATAAAAGAAAAGAAAATTATCTATGGCGATGAAATAACAAGTCAACTTCGAAAAGTTTATAGATTGAAACAAGAGAAACAAAATGAAGAGAGACAGAATCAACAAACAACTCTTTTGGTAAATAAATATTGCTCTTAAACTTTTTATTTTAATAATTTTAAATTTATTATCAACAATTAAGGTAAAAAATGATATTTAATTTAAGTCATACTTGCAAAAACTACTGAAGGATGACTTGATTCGTCAATTCAGAGACATACAATCAACAGATGATCATATGATTGAAGATTTAGTCATTATACAAAATAAAAATGTTGGTTTAGTAACTAAATTATACTTGTTAATTTTTGATTAATTTTTTTATTCAATTTGTAGGATAGATTTGCTGCTGACCTTAAAATAATTTTTGTTATGAATGATGACCGATTAAAGGTAATACGGTAATAGATATACTAATATTGATATATTATAGATAGTTTATTAAATATAATTGGCTTGCTGTTTACTAAAATATTGTTACATTTCAATGAATTTTTTTATTAGAAACGTGAGTTACCCAAATATTTGTGTGGAAACATAGGTTATGGTATTTTAAAAAATCCTGTTATCACTCCATGTGGCTTAAGTTATGATCGCAAGGACATTGAAGAACACTTAATGGTAAATAAATTGTATTTTATGATAAAATGACTTAAATATTGGCCAATTTTAAAATTTATTAACAAAAAGTTCAAGTGTAAACACACACACACTTAAAAATTATTTTAAATTTTACAAATAACAATTAATAATTTTACTGTTTACTAATATATTTAACTTTTGACTGTAGAATATAGGGAATTTTGATCCTGTGTCTCACCAACCTTTGACTGTCAATCAACTCATTCCAAATTTGGCTTTAAAAGAAATAGTCGAATTATTTATTAAAGAAAACGAGTGGGTAAACAATTATTGCAAAACTTGAACAGAAAATTGAATACAATGTATAAAATACAAAACATAGTAATGAAGGATTATCAAAACAATGTTCTATGTAATTATTTAAACTTACAAATATATTTTAAATTTAAAGTTTTATTTTATATTCCTAATTATGTTAAGGTCTACAGTACTTATATTTATAAATACGTGAAAATGTTACTGATATATAATTGGTAACCAAGCTTATTTTATGTTGTTAATGGCACATTAATTACAACTATTTTAATAATAGAAATCCTCTTTTAATCTTGTATTATTTAAACGTATGGTTTAATCTAATATTATTAAATATTTATCACAGTAAGTATTCAATTCTAATAGCTCAATACCTAAGAATCTGCTAAATATGATCATTTTGTTTGTTTTAATTTTTTTTTGACACAGACAAAAAATAAGCCTATTATCTAACTTATATACTTTACTCAATACGTTTTTCTTACATGGAATAGTCAATAATTATACTTTTTCATATAAACGTTTTAAACTATACAAATTAATTTCATATTATAATATGATATGAATATTTTTTTAAATTAAGAAAACTTCAGAACTTTTGATTGGTAAAATATTTTTTTGAAGTGACAGTTTTCTAAGAAAAATATAACACTTCAAAAACTGTACATTGCTTTAAAATAAATTATTATAACTCTCTTATATTATAAGATAAAAGAGTTAAATAAATATTGATACTTTTGATTGTAAGTAAATAATACAATGAACACATTTTTTAAGACTATGATATTTAAGTTAAAATTTCAAATTATAGGCTAAAAACTGAAAATCTATAAAAAGAAAAAGAAAAATACAAAAAGAAATTAACATTTATCCATATAAATAAAGGTCATATTTTTTTTTAAGAATTTCATATCTAAAAGTTTATTACATATAATAATAGTATATTTATTACTTTTATTAGTATTCTTAATTTTAAAATAATTAATGTATAATAGTATATCAGAAAAATATTTAAGTGAGTTTTATATATATAAAGTGTTTTTATTCTACTTTTTTTTTTTCATACAAAAATTTGTTTTGAAACTATTAGAGCTGGTAAATAATATATATTGAAAAACAATACAATTTTCTGATATTAAATTCTTATAAAAATGTACAACAATTATAAACTATAGTAGATGCCTGAAATTAAGTTTAAGTAGATAAATTATAAAATTAAAAATCTATTTTAAGGATATCAGAATCAAAGGATCAAAGTAATTCCAATTCATAACCATAACTAAAATACAAAATACAGTTTAAAAATGTTGATTATCAGTTAAAATGTATGATCTCTTGAGCACTTATATGTTTTGTTAAACAATAACAGAGTTATAAAAATAATTAAAATAAACATAAATCATGATGTATCATTATGATTGTTATGTATTTAGATTAAAAAATAAAAATATAAATATATTTTTTCCTACAAATATTACAACCTGACTTACGAATTGTGAGAAGCACAAAATACAACATACTTAAGTATATAATTTAAACATTGATACAGATTCAATGAACAAGTATAACATAAATATAAGTATATATATATATACTTATATATACTTTATTTTTTCTTTAAAATTTTAACTATTTTATTATAGTTATATATTATATAATTTGATTATCGCGATCATTTTAAAATTATTTATTGCATAAAAATTATACATCTTAGTATAATATACCATTCATATGTATTTAGTCTATAAAATAAATTTTGTTACAATTTGTCAACTATATAAATATAAATATCTAATATATTTCTATAAAATAAAAAAAAATATAACATAAAATAATAATCCTATAAATGGTGGTGGGGTTTTATTTGTTCATTAAATAAAATAGTGGGTCTTTGTGTTAGTATAACAACAAAATGGGTGTAAGTAGTAAGTATAAAAAAGAAACATGTATAAACATAACAGTATATCATTGTCTGTATAAGTTATTTTGTGTCATGGCATAAGTCTTAAATTAAAAAATATATATATATATTAGTTGGGGGACCAAGAAGGATAATACTTAATAATAACAATGAAAAATATAATATATATCCTATGTTTATGATTTTGTTACAACAATAATACTTAAATACACAGAACTGAGTACATGGTAATAGGATATAATAAGTAAACCATTCTTGGATATAAATACGATACCTATATCATAATCATAACTAGGAATCAAAATGAATGCCTAATCAGATATAAATAAATGTTCTTTGCATTCTGTTCAGAGCTCATATACAAACACAAATTTAAACAAAAATAATACATAATTTGTAAAAATAGCACCTAATTATTAAGGTTTAATTACTTTACGTAGGTATAAATACTTTTTACCGGCATCTGTAAAGGTAAAAAAAATTATCGAAGCCGGAAGGGATAATTTTAATCATCAATACAAAAATAAATATTGAGAAAATCACGAGCTGAAAAAAAGTATAAAAAGAATAATCTAGGAGACTATGTATATGCTGCGTTTATATTATACATAGAAGCTAGAGAATTACGGTTGTCTTGCAGCAAAAATTAATAAATAAAAATTCACAAATTTGTAGAAAACGAGCGTTAAGACTTACACTTAGTCCTGCCGTCCATTAACCGTCGCCATAGATCAAACTGCTCATAGTATTTAACCATGTGCAAAGAAATTACTCCTTGATCTTTTTTCTTTTTTTTTATGTCCTTGTCCAATGCTGTATCTCCCCAATACCACCGGAACCAACTAAATCCACCACCTCCACTAGTACCAACACTATCGCTAGGGCTTAGACCATTGCACACAGCTCGATCCAATGCTCGACCAGTTATTTTTTTGTTTGCAAATTGATCATCGTGTATTCGTCGCACCTTTACAATTATATCTGTCTTTTTCAGTCTTGTATTTTTACCATTATCGAGATGACCATTATTATCCATTACTTTACCATCATTTGGTTTTTGGTTATGATTATCTCTATTTAAAGCGTTTTTTTCTTTTTCTTTAAGCTCTCGGCGTGCCTGTCGCTCGGTTGCCCGGCGTGTTAGTCGCTCAGCTACAACTCCAGTTAAGTAAACATCCTCCAATTTTAAGTATGGCACGGTATTTTTGCTAATATATACATCATCACTAACATCTAAAGTCTGATTACCATTGTCACAGCCTTTTCCTAAGTAGGTTTTGGTTTCTTGATCTTCATTTTCTTCATTCATATTTTTTTTGTTTTCCTGATTACTATCATCATCATCATCATCGACCATATCAAAATCTTTACCTAGTGCCGCCTCGTATAGTGGGCTTACTGCTGACCTGGTCATAAGGTATGCAGGCCCCGTGCAGAAATCGGGGTATACTCGACCAGTATATTGTGTACGGGAAACATAATATTTACTGTTATGTTGACGAATCGGACGCCATCCGTGTGCTAGTCGTCCCCATATGGTAGGCGGCAGTTCAATATCAAAACTAGGAGTGGTTACAGACTCAAACATATCTGCACCTAAGGTGAATAATTCATATGGATCATGCATGGATTCAAGGGGCCGAGGATGGAGTCCACTGACACTGGACTCTGTAACAGTTTCAGCTTCAACTTTATTGATAAACCGCAATAATCTACGTACGTCGATGAACATATCATCATCTGTTTTTAATAGGTACCGAGCCCATGGACAATATTGACGGGTCCATTCAAGAGCAGCGATAGATTTCAGAGTCAAGTTAGTGTAAGTATCTCGAGACTGGCACTGTATTAAATCACCATATCGACCATATTCTCGCCCTAATACTCGTTGCACCGCTCGTTCTGCTTCGTTTAACCCATGCATAGCATGTGCATCTAAACCTTCTCCAGGGTTTGGTTCTCGGTCTCTCAAAAACTGGGAACGCCCAGGAACATCATCCAATGGTTCTACCACCATGTCTGCTGCTGCAGAGGTCACAGCTCCAGATGGCTTGGAATTGACCTTTTCTTTCTGTTTGATGTTATTATTGATATTATGCTGGTTTAAACGAGTCTTGAGTGCTTGTTCTTCAGCTTCCAGCACTCGAGCCACTGGGTCTGTCTCAGACATTTGTGGTGTACCCACTAGGAATGCCATGCTCACACTTGGACCATACCGGTTCATCCATGTCATACGAATGGCTTGTCGATTTTGAGAGTGTGCTGGAGCTGCTGCCGAAGTGATCAGTACCAATAGCCGGGTTTTAGTCGAACAGAGGCCTGCATTTCGTATACGGAATCCGGGTTCGTACATATCAGCAGCCGTAACCACACCATTCGGTGATTTTATCTTTTGCTGTTTTCTTCGTCGCTTCTTACCATTGTTACCGCCACAATCCAGGTTTGGGTGCGAGTTTCCACCAGTCATCGTCGCTACGTCTGCAATTGCATCTGGATTCGCCCCAATTATCGAATCACTGGTTCCTGAAAATGATAAATTATTTAATAAAAATGGTATTAAGAAATAATGTAATAATATTTAAAATAAATTACTTGTGTAGCTTATGAAGACTACATATGAGGCTAACAATAATATTAGTAGGATTATTACAGGCTTACACTATGAATATTTGATATAAATTAATATTTTCAAAAAGAAGATATTTTAAGTGTAATCTTGGGTATCAAACGATCGTTCTTAATCTGAATTAAGGAACTATCTTATTCACAAGTTATGTTAATTTAATAGTAACCTAATCAAATGTATTTAATAATAATACAGTATAATTTAATTTAATACAAATATTGCAAAAATGAAAGAAAAAAATTAAGTATCAAAAACTTGTAAACAATGACACATAAAAAAATTATTGATATTGAGAAAAATATATTATGAATTATCTTATACAGCTCATAGTAAATAAATATATTTTTATATTTAACAATTATTTATATTTATTTTTAAAAAACTAATTAACCTCCACCAAACTTAATCCTTAAAAATATTTAATAATTCATCTTATTAACTAAATTATGATAGAATGTCTGTACCTAATGATTGTTGATTGAAAGCAATAGGCGCCACTGTGCTACCTGTATTGCCACCAGTACCATATAGACAGTATAAAGCACCCATGATGAATAGAAGAGCTGTAGTGATAGCAGCTTTAAAGCCACCACCGCTACTATTGGCAGTTCTAGTTAGCTTCCTAATATAACAGCCAGCAACTGTATTAGGGCTATATCGATTACAGCCGCAAACTGATACACCAGACAGAGCGTTAGAAACGCAACGCCGCGCCGTCGTAAACATAACAATGTCGATGATGATTAATTTGGTTAACTACCAATTGCAGTCTTTTACTACTGAAACAAACAAATGAAATAAAATCAATTTTCAACTTCTTGTTCTTAATTAAAACATTTTTATTAAATGTTTTAAGTATACGTCATATTGATTGAAGTATTTATTAATATTTAATAATAAAATAAAAAGAAACTAACAAATGGCTTATTTTAATATAGGTGCCTGACTAAATAATAAATATATATTGATTGTTTTATCAATGTTAAAGTATCACCAAATATAGATAATCTATTATTGTGAAAGCCAGTTCAATTAATATAAATAAGTTAATTATGTCATATTTCAAATAATTAATTTCAAAAATAATAATTTTTATCAAACAGTAAATTTAGTCAATAACTAATACAATATTAAAGTAATTTCATATTTAGTGTCTTTTTAACCTCTTTATATATTGTAATTTATGCAATACCAATAAATATAATTTAAAAAAAAAATAGGTAACTAATTTAAGATTTTGTATATTACCTAGAATAGTAAACTAGTACTGTATGAATAATACCTATTATTTTTAATATTCTTGTTAAATTAGATATATTATTATTTTACCTAAGTATTATAAATAATTTAGAATTCAATGTATAATTTTAAAGTCTATAATATTTAAGATTTTATATTTATTATTCAAAATAAACTAATAATTGGTCATTATAATTGAAGACTATTGACAGATGAGTACTACAATAGTTCAAATTCCAAGAACTATAACTATATTGTTTTATTTTATATGTATAATAGATAAATAATTTAAAAAATATTGACTTCCATACTGCCACAGGCAGCCTGACAATTGATTATTATTATTAATCTGCTTTTGAGTGTTGATGTTATATGTTTAACATTCAAAAAATGTATATTTATCTTGAATAAATAAATCTAAAAACACTGTTAGAATACTTAAGTATTGAAATTTATCTAAAGATTACAAATATGAAATTATATTTATATTATTTTAAATATCACTAATTGTAATCATACTTTTCTTGTAACTATTGTTTACTTTTAACAAATAATCATAAGTATTAAACTTGAAATATTGATTATTAGTTATTATAGTATGAATTGAAAATGCTAATGTACATAATTAAATTAATGCCATAGGTATAAAAGATAAAATAGTAAAAGATTTTAAAATTATTTATGATGTACCTAATAAAATTTAGAGAACTATTATAAATCTTTAGTGTTATACTATTATAATAGTTAGTATCCCTGTCAGTATTATAGTCTATATATACATTTATGTTTTCACTTTAAAAATATACGAACAGAAAATTTACATTGAGAAGAATCCATTTAGTGCTGTAAGTTTTAGTACAACATTAAATTTACTTATTAAATATGAAGGTAGGCAAGAACAGTATAACTGTTGTTGGCTATTTTTTTATTTTTATTTTAAAGCGATTTATAAGCATCTTAAAATTTTATATAATTACCTAATTATAACTTAATTTAAAATTAAAACATAAAAATATAATCAGTATGAGAACACTGATAATAATTTATACTTATACTTCAATTTAATTAAGGTTAATTTACAGAAACAGAAAAACTAAAAATACAAAAACGAATATCTATTGCTGAACACTAATTCACTATTCGTGATACATTTCTATATTAGACACAACACATTTTTAAAGTTACTTCAAATCAAATATTAATTAAACAGAGGACTAATAAATGTATGTTTCATAAATACAAAGAAGTTCAATTCAATTTTAAATGATTATTTTAATGTACATCATGGTAATAATTAACAAAGCATAATTTTGATACTTGATGGTAATTATTTAGTTAAGTAACTTTAGTTATGACACGAATGTTAGCAGTAAAAATACTCCGGAAACAAGTAAATGTCTTGAAATTTCCTAAAACAATTTTAAGTAAACTGTTAGCTTTAAGCAGCATATTGTTATAGGGTTACCATATTTTATTTAGCAAAAACCGGGACAAGCTTTTTTTAATTTTTTCTGATTATACAATATAACTATACCTTTTTATATTTGTTCATAATTATCTCAGATCTTACTTGTTACTTTTTTTCATCAAATATCTAATAAAAGACACTTGTAATAAATTAAAGTCTCATCCCAGGACAATATGCTGTCCCGAAACACATTATCGGGACACCGGGACGTCATACTCAAAACCGGTACTGTCTTGGCCAAGCCGGAACGTATGGCAACCCTATATTGTTATGTAGGTGCACACACCATAATTTTGATTGTTATACTATCCATAATCAATATAGATAAACGGTCTTGTTACCTGGTCAAATGCACCAATGTTTCGAGTGTGAGTGATCATTCATCAGCGGATGAAGTTGAACAGGCGTCGAGCGGTACAGTCGAGTTTGGACCGGAGAAAAAGACAGTTGGTCTGCGTTACGTCACGAAGCCGATGTCGACGTCGTAGCCGACACCGCTGCCGCGCCGCACAACCCAAACACTTGGTCCGTTGGTCGCTGTGGTCGCCCCTCCGTCCACTCTGGCTGCCACCGACAAATGAGACGTCCGACGATCAGACGATCCCGACCATCGTCGCGCGCACTGCCAGCCGCCGTTGAGCAGAGAGACTGCGAGCGACCTACTGGCCGTTGAACAGTCTACGAAGACGACAACGCGTTCGCCTTGAACCGGCGATGTCGACGCGCGACGGTGACCTCCACCTCTGCCGCCGCCGCCGCCGTTATATCACTCGACGGGCGGGCTCAACACCACTCGGAAACGGAACGACCGTGCCACGAACGCGCGCGGCGACGGTCGTAACGATTAATCGCCGAAAACGATATTATCGTCGTCGCGGGCCGTTGTCGTTGTCGTCGCACTGTTCCGGGACCTGCGGGCCGAGCACAGTCCTACCGAATCACTACGACCGACGACTCTCCGTCACCAATGAACATCATTGATGACTGCACAGCGCGCACTGTTACGTCCCGACGACGACAGACGGCCCCGGTCGTGCGCGGGTACAACGATTGTGTGTTTGTGTGTGTGTGTGTGTGTGTGTGAGACGGTGAAAAATCCGAGGAACAAGCTTACGCAAGCGTCGTCGCGTGCACCGCTCTTACGTGATACTGCACTACTGTAGTACTATTTTATTATTGTCGGAGATCGAAGTGTTGAGCAGTACAATAATAACAACTCGTCACTCGTCACGACCAACTCGTGATAAGAGCGGCGGCGGCGGCGGCGGTTCGGCACGCAGGCCGGGCCCGGAGCGACGTTTCCCGGCTCGCTGGGCCACCCCCCCACTCGTCGCGCCTCACGGCAAAATTATTTTTATCACTCCGCTCGGCGTTGATAACACGGTACGGGTGATAAGGCGGACGGTCGTACCGCTTATCGTCGCGAACACTCGATTACCGCTTGTGCCGAGTCCACGTATACACACGGAGCGCATGAGGGCACGAGTCGTGACGCTCTACAGCAATCATTACGACTTAAGATAAGTGAGCCGCAATCACTTGACATAGTGACGTTTGGTGTCTCGTTTGGTGTGCCCGTTGAATCGCATGTGGTGAGCACCATTTCGCCGGCCGGCCGCCATCTCGTTTACACGCCCTCGTTCGCGTAGACCGTCTCTATCTCCTCTCTCGACAACGCGGACGTATCCTCTTTCCGTTTTCCATCCCTTACTGCTGCCCCCCTTCAGAGTCTGAACACCTGCAGCAGTGATGAATATCTTCAAGGTCGACGTCGAAACCACAACGATCACACCGATCGCCACTACAGCGACCACCGTCAAATAGTCGCGCATAGTCAATAGTGTACCTACCACAAACCTACCACCGCATTACCTCTACTTTCGTTCAGGTTTGTATTTTATAAAATATAAATATGTATATTCATGTTTAATTTGTTTAATATTTTATATTTTAACTAAACATCACAGTGTATTGTGAATGATTAGAGAATGAGTTTCCGTGTAGTTAGGTAATGTTATGTCTACCTACCCTTTTAAACGACAGAAAGCAATTACTAAATATATTAATGTGTGCAGACAATGTTTTCAATTGAATTAAATTTAATTTTACAGCAAAACATTACAATATTCAAAAATCAATTTCAATTTTTCTCTTTATCATACTCAAATAACGGCTCATGTGAAAATAAAAAATTGTGAATTTGACCTGTATTGTTGTTCTTTATAGTCATTTAGATACATTTGTGCACCGATTGTGTACAACTTGAAAAGTTGTATTAATCAACAATCAGCACCTTAAACATCTTCGATTTAGATGTTGTTACATTAATTTTAACTACTTTATTGCAACCAGATTCTGCAAATAGTTTTAAATCTTAAATCAAATTATGTGATGCGCATCATAAGCCTGGTGGACAAAATAAAAATCCCCAAATTCAATATTTTCAAAAATACTTATATAGTATTATTATGTACTAAGAACTTTTAAAAGCCTGATAACTCTGATAATTACTTAATATCATTAATTCTCAGTGGTATAGCTAGAAATATTGTAAAAAGGTGAACAAATATGTAAGATAAAACACTAAACGCATAGGTATGTTTACATCATCATACATAAAAACAAATTACAATATTTAATTATATTTATTAATTATTAAAGAATTTAAATGATAATAACGTGTTAACCAGTCATATAGTTACATTCTTATTGTTGACATTTTTTAATACTATGTCATTATTTATTATTTTATTTCTGTTTGTAAAATACGCTTCATAGAACTTTACAGTTATAAAATTAATTAATTCTCTCACATTTCCACTAAAAATATGCACTTGATTAAATACTATTATAATTTTGTTTACTTACACACTTTGGGTAAGACTAAATTATTATTAAATTTAAAAAAAAAAAAAATTAATTAATAATCTGATAAGTAAATAAGTAGAAATAATTGTTTAATAAATATTCTTCTGAAAATTACTTTTTATTTATATAAGTAATGTGATGCCTGTTTATTTTTATATTATTAAAGTGATTAAGAGATAACTAATAAATTAATATCTAATAAATAATTTATGTTTTTACATTTTTTGTTCAAAATATCTTTATGTCGATGTTCAAACAAACCAAATAAATAAATAAAAATCCATTATTAAAAGTTAATATAAAAAAATAACAAAAAAACATTTTTCAATAAAGCTTAACTTTTATTTGTTTTGGTGTAGTGTGTACAATGTGTACATACAATGTTATATTTGTTTAGACAATAAATAAAGAAACTTAATTTTTAACTATACTGTAATCTGCTAGGCACTGTAATATTGTGTGTAATATTTTAAAATAATCATACTCTTGTTTTCTTTGTTTTTCATACAGATTATTTGCAAAGAAACTTGGAAATATAACTCAATTTATCGTCCAAAACTACATTTACAAGCGTTTCAGCTGTTCCAACACAGTACGACGTGATTAGGATTACTACATAACTATTTCTTCGACTTTTACAATCCTAATAGTTGTTCAACACTATTATTGTCAACAGTCTCTTGTAATCGACCAGCATCTACGTACACAGCTCTACCACCAACATCGATAACTGCATCGAAATCTAGTGGTCGAGTATACGATGATTCCACTGACGTCTTCGACGTCGCTGAGAAAATCGAGCGTGGCGGCAAAAATGACAAGCGGCGGCTCCACCGGTATGCCTTCGCCCACCAGCCTCCTGACGAAGCTCAAGGGGGCTGTGCGTTCGGTCGTGTCGGACTCGAATGCCCGCAACCTGATGGGCTTTCTGGCGCTAAACTTTGTGTTCGCTTTCGTGGAACTGGCGTACGGCATGTGGACGAACAGCTTGGGACTGATATCGGACTCGTTTCACATGTTCTTCGATTGCACCGGCCTGGTGGCCGGGCTGGCGGCTCAGGTGGTCAGCCGGTGGCCGGCCGACGATTCGTTCGCCTACGGCTACAAGCGCGCCGAGGTCCTGGCCGGGTTCGTCAACGCGCTGTTCTTGTTGTTCATAGCGTTTTTCATACTGACGGAAGCCGTGGAACGAGCCATCGAACCGCCCGAGGTGCACCACGACCGCCTGTTCGTGGTCAGCGTGCTAGGACTGCTCGTCAACCTGGTCGGCATATACGTGTTCCAACACGGCGGCAGCCACGGGCACAGTCACGGCGGCGGCGGCGGTCACGGGCACAGCCACGGCGGCGGCGGTCACGGGCACAGTCACGGCGGTTCCGGCGGCGGTCACGGGCACAGTCACGACGCGCCCGGAGACGACCCCTTCAACCAGCACCACCAAGTGTCCATATCGATGGGCGGCGGCGGTCACCAGCAAAACAACGCGTCACCGCCGACGTCCGGCGCCGGTCAGAGTAACCAGAACCAGAACCATCTGATGAAAGGCGTGCTGCTGCACATCCTGGCCGACACGCTGGGCAGCGTGGGCGTGGTCATCTCGGCGCTGCTGATGCGAGCTTTCGGGTGGATGCGCGCGGACCCCGTGTGCTCGATATTCATCGCCGTGCTGGTGGCCGCCTCCGTGTGGGGACTGCTTTGCGACTCGGCCCGCATACTCATGATGCGCACGCCCGTCGAGCTGGACGACGAGCGCCGGCTGCTGGACGCGTGCTACTCCCGACTGCACCGGTACCATCCGGCCGTGATGGGCATCCAGGAACCGCGGTTCTGGACGCTGTGCGCGGACACGTACGCGGGCAGCATCAAGATCGAAGTCCGGTCCGGGTTCATCGGGAGCGCCGGTCCCGGCGCCAGCGATTATGCCGCGTCCTCGCCGTCGCCGTCGCCCATGCAGTTCGCCGGTCAAACGGACGCCGCCGCCAGGTTGTTGCACGACCGCGACCAATTCGCCAACGGTCTGGTGCGATACGCGCAACAGGTGTTCGCCGCCGTCGGTGTCCGGAACCTGTACGTGCAGATCGACTACGCGGGCGAAGACGCGGTCGGAGCCATGCTCAACCACAATCATACACATCACCACCACGTCGACGACGTGCAGCGGCCGAACAGCTACGCGACGTCCGGTAGCGTGCTCGATCAGCCTCAACAGCAATTCCAGGCGTACAATCAAACACAACACCACCATCAACAACAGCATCAGCAGCAGCAACACCAACAGCCGCAGCAACAGTACACCAATCCGTTGTTAATGATGTAATTTTTTTTTTTTTTTTTAATAAAAAAACGCCGGCATGGCGCCTAGCCGTCGTCGCCGTTCGCGGGAGTCGTCCAAAGGGTCGCGGCCAACCGTGTCGATCTCCGAATGCGGTTAACTGATGATTTCAAAGATAATGTAAACAAAACAAGAAAAAAAAAACAAAAAAATCCTTCACATTTTAATAATTTATACTATTATTTTTTATTATATTTATTGTACACATTATGTACTATTCGTGTAATCGTGTTACATAAATGATTGTGTCGAAAATAAAGTTATTTTATTTGTAAACAATGCATATTATTATGAACTTTAATTCCGTGATGATTATTATTGCAGTCTATCATTTGTTTCTATATTCGGATGATGAGACGAACAATTTGAAACATTCCCGACTTTTCAATGTTACAGGGAAACCGTTGAACGGTGCAGACTATTTGTTTAATAAATATTTAATGTTCTATTGTATTGATGTGTTTAAATATGTTTGATACTGTCATTAAATTTTCGTTTTTATTAGTATAAATGGTGTTAATGTCAATTAAAAATATTAACTGTTGAATAATGTTTTTGCGTGCTAGGAAATATGTCTCAAATTACTAATACATGATACCTACCAATGACGATAAATAATAGTATTTAAAATGAGTTGTAATACGTACTTTTCTCATAACAATGGTCTATGTAGCACTTATTTTTAGGTTGATCAGAGTGAAATGACAATTTGATTGCTTAATCATTTATTCAATTTAAAAAATAAATGATTTTTATACAACTTTTCCCAGAAAGATTTATTTTCGTTTTATGTTTACAAATATATTATTGTTATTCAATTTTTACAATATGATACAATCTTGTATCTTGAAATATCCTTATAAGCCCTTAAAATATTTCATCTATTATGTTTTTAAACTTCTACATAATGGAAAACTTGTAAGCGATGGTTATGAAAAATCGATATTTAATACGATATAATATTCTATATATTTTATTTATTCAGCTCATGAAAAGTATCATTATCATTAATAATAAAAACATAAAATATATTTTGTACAATATTGAAAATGGGCAATAATTTTTGTATATTTAATAAAGTAATAACAAAGGGTTTTTTTCTTACACAGTATGCATTATTTTATATAAAATGAATACATTATTTTTTAAATTAAAATTTATATAATTATTAACTGATTATTTAATACAATCATTTTTTTTAATTTCCTTTAAGTACATTACAATTCAGTTATAAAAAAAACCTTAAATAGATGCAGCATGGTTTGTAACTTTTAGTAAGTTACTGACTCATATTTTGAATTAAAAATAATCTTCACTTGATAAATTAGGTAATAAAATTGTATTATCAAAAATATTATTATGGTATTATAATTATAATTATGCTACCATTAAGAAATGCAATTTATTTTCAATGATAAACTCATATGATGACAATTTATATAGTGTATAATATACATTTTTATTATAAAATATTATCAATCGACAATTATCAACGAATAACAATAACATAAAAAAGTAATACTCATATAATATAGTACATTAAGTTTAGTGTATTTAAAATAATACTGAAAGGTGAATATACAGTATAATACACTAGGTACTGCAGTAGTGCAGTTTTTATATTCATAAGATTCATACATTTACCACTTTTATGACATACTTATTTTTGTTTAAATTTAATTATTTATTATTAAATGCAGATATGCTTTTAACAAATATATAAGTCTTTAATAATTTTTATTATAAAATATTATTTTAATTAACAATATTTTTTTAAATAATGCAACATTGTACTTAATTTGTCAATAGATAAAATTTAAGTGATTTTCAAGTCATATTTGTTTTTATCTTATTTTATAATATTGAGTAACATTATTAAGCTTAACATAGATAATTTTAATTGTTTCAATAGTGCATGGTTTTTAGTTATTCTTTTTTATCGATACATTCATTCAGTTTAAACAATCTTTTACAATAATATGATAAAATTGAAAATCAACATTATAGTATCAAAATAATATATCAATTTTAGTAAAATATAAACTTAATATCATATTATTTATTTTCCATATAAAAATTTATTTATTTCTGATAGATAATTAAAAATAATATATTATTAATATTATAATGAGTAATGTGAAAAATAATGCACTAATTCACATTACTGCGAGTATAATCAGTTAATATATTAAATTTAACAATGTTATATTATTTTTTCTATCATGATTGATGACAAAAATTTAGCACAATCAGCAAGTTAGTTTTTTCTTTCATGTCATTATTTAATTATTATAATTAATAATAAAAAAAATTGATTTTAGACATGAATAATTTGAGAAAGAAAAAAACAAGTTCTTTAAAGATTTTAAAACACAATATGACAACTTAATACAATTAAGAGCATCGCACATTTTTCAATAATAATAGAAGATGTTTTACCCATAATAGTAATATATTAAACAATCATAATATAATAAATAATATATAAAAAAGGTAATTTAATATTGTACATACCAAAGGTAGTATACATAAAAATAATACTAATAAGTAATAAATAAATAATTAAGTGTGTGAGTGATACATAGGTATAAAATTACTGCACAACGTATGTACATAATGCACAAGGCAGTAATAATAAAAATAATATTACTACATGTACACAATGATTTTATAGCAGTTTAAGTAATAATATAAACAGGTACACGCACAATTATAACCAGATGAGAGTAGCCATAAAACACAACAATCAACTTAGGAGTTGTCTTGTACCCAATACAATAAATTATATAATAAAAAATAAGTAAAAAAACAAATATATTTATGGATAATAGGCAATAGCTACCACCACCAGTGAAAAACGGAGGATAAATGCGTTGACTCACAAAGTGGTAGTGGCTAGCAATTAAAAAAAAAAAAATAATAATAAAATATATTTACAATAATGAAAGAGCAGTTAATTACACATAGTATTATTAATTTGGTAAATAATATTCTTGTAAAATTATTTGTATCAAATAATTACCAAACTATTATCATTTACAATTTTAAAAAAAATTATGATATATGCGACCTACGCATGTGCGCGGTTTATTGTCTTTTATTTTTATGATTAAATATTATCATTAACGTTACAGTCAAAATTCAATTGTGGGCAATAAATTCAATGAGAATTATGCTTAAAAATTAATGATATTTAATCACTATCGCTGCTGCTGTTAGAATATTATACAATCATTTCACCGCCACTGTCACAACATTACTTTCATCCTCGGGGTCTTCCTCTTCATTTTCGCTGTTGTTTTGGCTCTTTTGTCTACTCATTTGTAGATCACGGTTATTCAATTGCCTAAGTGCTTCATCCAATTGCTGCTGCAGATTTTCTGCATGAGCTGACCACCTTGACTCTTCGCGTTCTACATGTCCATGCAACCTGCTCAGCATTTGTTCCTATACAAGTTTAAGAAATGTTATTATGAGAGTAAACATTGAGATAAAATAATGAGATATTTTAACCAATAGATAATAACAGACTCTGTATTGTCTTATGTATTTTGATATGTACTTATATGTAATAATCCCCAACATAGCACTGCTATAGTGTTATTGCAACATGTAATTTATAAGATCTAACATTTCTAATGTATTTAGTGATAGTATGTATACAATTAAAACGTACCGTATCAGTAATGATCTGCTTGTAATGATATACAGTGGCGCTTAAAATTTTGTTTTGCTTCTTTAATGTGTCAATTTTGTCGGAATCGGTTGTCTGCGGACACTGATAAAACATGAAAATTCGAGTTATTTTACTTGAAATATAAAAAAATCAATACATTATACTATATTTAAGTCTAGTATTGTACACTAAAACAATAAATATTTATTCTTAAATATTATACTTAGTACTTACCGTCGCAGAGGTTGTACGCTGTTGCTCTTCCTCAGCTAGTTGACGATGGAGCCTCTCGACTTCGGTTCGATGTTGTTCACGCAACTCCTCAATCACTGCCGCATCATGCTCGGAAAGACGACTTGCTTTTTCGGCCGCAGCCTCGTGTTCGTCCCGCAACACTTTGATCGCGGTTTCGTGTTCAGCTCGCAGACTTTTTGTTATGGTCTCCAGTTTCAAACGTAGATCCTCGTTTTCCTTACGTAAATCTTCATTTTTCTTACGCAGATCTTGAACTGCTGTCTCGTGCTCAGCATGTAGACGTTCCTTTTCCTTGATTAAATCTTGGATTGCGATATCGTGTTCTTTGGCCATATTCTCATTTTTAATACGCATACTACGAATTTCATTCTGGTGCTCCGTACGCATATGATCTTTAAGCTCACGCATACTTTGCATAGTGGTTTCTTGTCGTTTGCGTAGTCCATCATTTTCACTACGCAATTTTTGAACTAAGGTATCATGCTCAGTCTGTAAAGCTCCAATCATGGCCTCGTGATCTGCTCGTAGACTTTGCATTGCGGATCGCTGGACAGTTTCATTTTCCGCACGCACACCTTCGATCACAGTTTCATGCTCAGTCCATAGATTCTTCATTGAAGTCTCGTGTTTTATGCGCATATTATCATTTTCTTCACGTAGGCCTCGAACTACAGCCTCGTGATCTTTTTGAAGTTTCTCATTTTCCTCGCGTAAGATTCGAATCGCTGTCTCGTGCTCTTTGCGAAGTTTCTCGTTTTCTTTACGGAGATCTCGGATCGCGATAGTCTCTTTTTCTGAGTGTTTCAGATCTTCGTTGACTACATCAGCATCTCGAATTGCTGTCACTTTTTCATTATTGTTAGTCACTTTAGCAACAGTCTTATGAGCCACTTGTGAACTCTGAGACGCAGTCTGTCGCAAATTCTCGAGTTCTGTGCGCAATGCATTTATCGTCGCTTCGTGCTTAGCTTGCAATGCTGCCAGCTGAACATCACGTTCCGCATTCAACGCTTTCACAGCCGCATCGTGTTCCGTTCGCAATCGTTTCGTTACCGCTGTCTCACGTTCAGCAGTACGTAAACGCTCGGCCACTGAACTATTTTTAGATCGTAAATTTTCGTTTTCCAAACGTAAACGTTTAGTTGTTGTTTCGTGTTCAGCTCGCAATAGCTTTGACTCTTTTTCATACTCGGCCCGTAACGTTTTCACCGAAGCATCGTACTCGGCACGCAACCGTTTTTCTGTCAAGTCGACTTCGGTTTTATTATCGTTATCTCGGCGGTTTTGTTGCCCTGGTGGTTGTTTATCTGTCACAGTCGTTGCTTTTACTGTTACAGTTAGGACAGAGGGTCCAGTGATTTGCTGTTGCGATAGCTTATCACGTCTTCGTTGTTGCGGTTGCTGTTGCGGCTGCTGCTGCTTGTCACGCCGTTGATGTTGCTTCTCTTTTTGAGGTTGTTTCTCTTGTTGGTGTTGCTTATCTTGTTGATTTTCCTTCTCATGGTTTTGTTGTTTCTCTTGCCGCTGTTGCTTTTCTTGTCGCTGAGCTTCTTCTTCTTGTTGTTTCTCGTGCTGAAGTCGCCGACGTTCAAATTTAGTCGAAACGGCTACGTTATCATCAGACCGTTGATTCTGTTTTTTCCGATTTGATTCATTATTGTTACTATTGTAAACAGTGAAAGAATTGGCACCACTATTGCCACTAGTCTACAATAAACAACAACAAAATATTTTTTATTATAATAAATATTTTAAGATGTTAAAGTGTCAATATTTATGTAAATATAGTTTAGATATTACGATTAAACTTCTACTGCTAGTGTTGAGAGCAGTAAATTACATTTCTAATCACATTTATCAAAACTAATACTTCTTAAATATAATATCAATAATTAATTAAATAGAATGAAGAAAAAGATTATAACCGAAAAGAGAAATATTTATGCAGAATAGAATAGTTTAGTAATATTATATCATATTTAAAATCAATGATAAAAGAAATTATTTTAAACTAACTAAAAACTTGTGGTTTTTCAAACTTTATTAATTCTCTAAAAAATGAGTTTAAAAAATGCAATTTTTTAAACACGTAGGTTAAGACTACTATTGGACTTGAAATAATAATTTATGTTTGTGTGAGATATTAAATTGTAATACTAACAATTGTGTGTAAATATATGTGCAATACAACAAATCAAAAACATAATAAATACCACCACGAAACAATTTAATTAAAATTTTAAACAATCCAAAAGAAAACCACCTTTTCAATAATATAATATTAAAGTTTAAAGCCAATAATACTTATTTTATAATTATATATTATATATTTATATAGTATATATAATATAAAGTTATTGAATACTATTTTAACGCGCTAATTATACCTCGCTAGATTTTTTATGTTTTTTAATAATTGATTAAAAGTTATTAAACAAAAAAAAATTAAATTTCACGAAATTATTTTTATAAGAACTACTACACGATTTTATTTAAATTATTTTTATTTTTTTTATTGCATTTTGGGTTTCAAGTCTAATAATAAACAGAATTCATATAATATTTATTTTCTGATGGACTTATTAAAATGTGTTTACAAGAATCCAATTTTTACAAACAAAATAAAAGAAAATATTCACCAATCATAAAAACCATGATAAAATCAATTCAAACAGTATTTCTTTTACAAAAAGATAAAATAAATTAATAGAGTTTCTTTTCAACAGGAAAATGCTTAAATGAGTTATTTTAATACATTATTAATGTCCACAGCACCTTATAATAAATTGCATTCTCACAAAAACGTAATAAATAAAAAAATAAAACTTTATAATTGAATCAATTAATTTAATATTAACCTAATTGTATATGTATAATGCATAAAATATTTAGCCGAAATTAAAATCAAATTACTAACAGTTAATAGAAAAACTTATAAGAATTCAAATGTATCTACAAAAACATTTTACAATCTTATTGTAAATATCTGCAGTCTAAAATCTTCCATCAAATAAAACTGTATTAAAAATTTACTATCTAATATTCTAGTGTTTACCAAAAATAAGTCAATGATTTTCTTTAATTAATCGAATAATGTCCAAATCTATTTTAATTGACGTCCGATAAAAAATATGTAGATATCAACAAAAATAATTGCGAGACAGGAACTATTAAAATAGTAAAATATAATAGTTGTTTAAAAAGAATCATACAGGTATTACCCGCATCACCCGTATGATTAAATGGCGTGCCGCGAGGAAGATGAAAAATGTCAAAACAAAATAAGAACTAAAAAAAAACATTAGTTTAGTATGGAAGTAAAATAAGTATCCGAATTCGTACAGAAAAAATAAATAAATACCAATCGGGTACACTTAGCCGTAACAACATATAAGTTAAGAATGTACACCGTAATAATATTATAATTTGGTTAAAAATCAAATTCGAAATCTACTCGTTTGCCATTTTACGAACAAATCCGTTTCTATCGATTCCCCATATCCGTTTACGCACTGTTATGTACAAAATAAGCACGGGTCAGCAATACGCATACTATATAATAATGTCTTAGAACTTTTCTGCACCTGTAAGCACACACGCCCAGTGTTTATTTTATACCTTCTGTTCGGTGGGAGGGTATCATAAATTTACAAGGTAAGAGCAAATAATGGAGAGAAGTAAAAATAAATCTAAATAGCATACAAAATAACCTTTTTAGTTTTTGTTCACACAAGAATTGGTCATAATTAATGAGTAATGTTCAATACAACCTAATCACTATCATAATATTTATTTTATTGTTAGTCGACGTAGTAAGTTTTACATTTTTCCGACAAGGGAGGAGGGTAATACTCCTACCCAATCACTCAGCGAAATAAACACTGCACACACACACACAATATGTTAAGTATTCTTTACCATATTATCATCATATATGTACAGACTAATATATTGGCTCATTATCGGTTAGGTTAGGTTACCCGCCAACCGTAGTGCTGGGGCGATCGTAATAACCGATCACACACACCGACTACTGAAATCGTATTTGAATAAATGAAATCCCACCAAAAAATCTACACCGCGATGTCACAGCCCTCCATTCGTACCCTATAAGTTTACACTTGCGGTCAGGCCCGGTTCAAGTGTTTAAACGCAACCAGGCAAATTTGGGTTTAGCCGTCCCTTACGTGTACATTTTTTTAAAAATTATCTTTAATACAAAAACGTTAAACGCCGCCCTAGGCGTGGGCCTACGTCGCATAACCCATCGAGCCGGGCCCGCTTATGGTAATGAAATCAACGCAAAACAGAGATGAATATACGTTACCATTGTGATCCATTCGCCCTGATCCTCGTCGTCGTCTTCGTTGTAAGCGGCCGCCGAGTCGTCCGCGACCAGGCTATCCTCGTCGGCGTGCAGGCTGTGCGACGACCAGGAGGACGAGCGGCGACGGCGGTCGTCGTTTGCGGTGGCAGCGGCCGCCGAGTTGTAGTGGCCGTTGCGCGCCGAACTGTCGCCGCCACTGCGGGACTGCTGCTCCTGTTGCTGCCGTTGGCGCCGGGACCGGCGGTTCCGCTCGTTGGAACCGTCTGCGGCCGGAGCGTCCGCCGGCTGCTTGTTCGCGCCGCGATGGTCGGCGTTCTCGTCAACGTCGACGGCGCCCTTTTTCTTCTTCTTGTCGCCGTTGTTCTTACCGCCGCCCGGGATGACGATACCAGTCGGGCCGCCAGCACCCCCGACCGCAGTGGCACTGGTGCTGGCGAACGTCTGTGGACGGACAGCACTGTTCTTGCCGCTGTTGTTCTTCTTCTTCGGCTGGACCGCGGCCGACGTCGACTTCTTTTGCTTTGACGCCGGCGTGAAACCGTCACCATCGTTGCCGCGCTGGTGACGAGTCGACCTCCGCCGCCGTTCGGCAGACGACGCCGACGCTGCCCAACGCATCATGAAGAAAAATGCGCAGCTGAACGTCACCGTGACGAGCAGGGCCAACGCCACTGCCCTCATGCCCGCCGCTTCAGTGGCGGCCGCCGCAGTCTCTACCAGAGTGTTTTTTATCATCGTTTCTGCGACGTGGTTTTTCGGTTACTATATAATATATATATATATATATATTACATACGTGCCTATCGAACTGATAGGGTGCAAAAAAAAAAAAACAAATAAATGAATAAATAAATAATAGTATGCGATTTCTACTTGGGTGCGTAATAATATCGTTATAATAATATAGTATGGTGACGGGTCATCGCCGTACACGTTATTGCTACCACTGCCGACACCCGAAATGCACGGCAAGAGTGGTAGAAGCAATAGTGTCGGCCGCCACGATCATTATGATGATGACGACGACGACGATCGTAATATCGATGAGTGGTTGGTATGTGGTTAATAGCCAGTCAGCAGTCTTGAGTAAGTAACAATATAGAAATCTTAAATAATAATACAATAATATATCGTGTGCTCACCGGTGAAGGCCGTAACCCCGACGACGAAAACCTAATGATTTTTGCTCCGTCTGTTGGTGCAGTATCTGCTGTAACGACGTTATCGTACAGGTAGACAGGTGGGTAACAACTGCCGGTGCCGCCGCCCCAAAACTTAATGCGATCAATTCTTGATGTATTCTTCGGCAAAAGGTGTTGCTGCGTTGCACTAGCCGTGGAAATGTGGAACGACGACGATCAACAACGCGTCGCGACGCTACCGCTCGGTTGAAACATACGATGACGATACGTCGTTGTCATCATAATATTACGGGCTGTGAATGTGAATCGAACACGACGACGACAACGACTTCCAGAGTGCGTATGGTATGCACGACGTGCGTCGTACCGGTAGTGACGGCCGGTCGCTGGATGTACGCCACTGGATTCGAACCGTCGTCACCGTCGGTGCGTTGCCGCGATGGTGACGTGGACACTGCCGGTACTCAGTAGTGGTGGTTTGACAAAATCGTGGTGGTGTCGGCGGCGGCAGCGCTGTTGTCGTCGCAGGCCTATCTGATATCTTGTGAGTTGTGAGATAGTAGCGGCGGACTTCCGTACACCCACACTTTTGCGCCTGCGTGACTGCACCGACCGAAACATGGTCACGGACGGACACTGGTTCATAGCTTGGTTATAGTGGTCGAGGGACGGAGCGATAACACCGATCGTCTACTACTTCCACTGCAAGCCGCCGCATTCCTCGACGGCGCCCGCCGTAACCCGCCACGCCATGGTCGCAGCAGTGAGCGCCCGCCGACACATTGTGACCAAGAAACAAATAATAGCTTGTATCGCTTGTGACAATATTAACCTTTAGTGCGCGCGAGTATTGCGACGGCGGCAGAATAATAATTACAATTATACAGTATATACACGATGATGATCACTTTCACACGCGCATGTACAGTATTCAGTTCAGTCAGTACACTCATCGACTTTAAACGTTGAATACTTTGCTCCTGTGCACGGTTCGCCACAAAATCAACGATTTCACAGACGTTCAGACAATGATGGTGGATGGTTAGGACCGTCTTCTTACAAAAAGTGCGATTTCGTTAGTCGCGGTGTTTTGTAAGTGTGTTGTTATAATATTGCTGTTTCGTGATGTATTAAAATAATAAAGCAGTTGACAGAGATGGCTTTTGCATTCAGTTTACTGTTTCATGGCCGACTGCTTGTACGACACCGATGACTATACGCTACTGCCCCAGTACTTCAGCTGCTGAATGTTGCTAACGAAGACACTGAAAGCCACAATGACTATTACAACCAGTATCACAATACAACTTAGGTCATTTCTACTGCAGTAAAGGCTGTTTACTGAAACGTTGGACAAGATCAACACAAAAATGACTGCTGTAGTAAAATTTATCCGCACAGAAATGTTGGCAACGACTGTTATGTTATTGCTGATGTTGCTAGTCGCCACTGCAGCGGCAGCCGTATTATCAAGTAATATATCTATATTTTTTAAACTGTGTACAGACTTTCAATTTGCTCTTAATTCTTTTGAATTATGGGTACTATTTTTTTGACATTCACTAGTATTGTACTTGGAGGTGATTTTAATCATTGATTTGTTTTGATGAATTCTTTCATCAACTCAAAGCCACTAAAGAAATGAAATGTTAAACATTAAAATTTGTTGTACATACCTAGACACAATTATATTTTTCTACTTGTTTATTGTTGATATATTAATGCTGACTTTGAAAAAATGTCATAAACATAAAATGAAAATAAATTTCTAATTTATTTTATTCAGGCATTAGTCATTTATAACATCTAAGACTGAAGATAAAAAAGAAAATAAAGACTAAATTATTATTTACATTCTGAACTGTATTATTTGTGTTATGTGAGAAAAATAGTAATAGATATTAATCTTATCATAATATCATAGAAAATTAATTTGATAACAGTTAATTACTTTTAGATACCTATTTAATTACTTATGTCTTTAATTCAATTTTTGAATTTAAATTAATGTCAGTTTATCTGAAAAATTTGAGTTATTTTATTAGGTATACTTTTATTATAAATCTACTTAATACATCATGTTAATTTGCTGGAAAATACAAATAATCATATTTATACAATTTCAATTCTGATTTTTACATAATGCTACTTTAATTAACATCTGTGATGTAATATTTACTCATAGGAGTACGCAGACTTCTGAGTCAAGTATGGCTAAATTCAATCTCACCCTCCCACCTCCCTGTCACGGTCAAACAATAAAAAAAATTATAGAAATTTTCAATATGAACTTAGAATTAATTGATCCCTTTTGTTGGTGACTAGAAAATGTAAACAATCATTTTTCATTATTTCACACTTATAATTATTCATCAATATTGATTTAAAATTTTAACTAAATATAACCTAATAAAACAATTCAAAACATAACATAATATTAATGTCAATTAACATTAGCATTTATTTATTACTATATTATACTATATTATTATGATGTCAAATAAAAAAATGTAATTTACTATTTATACTTATCTTTAATCGTGTAAATAGCTATAATTTTGATTTATTTTGTTATCAGTTTTCTATGGCTATAACGCCTTATTACTTTCTTAGGTACCAAGTACCCACCCACGTATAAAAAAAAAGGCTTAGGTGGGGCTAAAGCCCAATTAGCCCTATTCATGGGCATGCCTATGATGTACCTATTCATATTATTTTACTACAGTAATCTTTTACCAATACTTTTAATAAATAAATGAAATAATTTATATTTGTTAAGTTGACATAACTATAATTATGTAAAGATTATGTTTTCATCTTATTTTACTTATATTTGGTACCTAATTTAAACATATTCTAATGTTTAATAATATTACCTATGTGTCACTTCGGAGAAGGCTACAACCACACATGTTTTCTCTTTCTTACAAACATAAAACATAGAAAATTTGTTTTCAATAAAACCAATTTTGTGTTGATAACTTATTAAAGCCAATTGAATAGCAACATATCATCAAACTTAAAGGATAAGTATATCATATTTTATTTCTTGTCAGGTTATTACGATATTCTAATTTTTAAACAAGTTATAAGCATTTTTATATTTTAATATCTCATATACTCGTTATATGTTTAAAAAATCAAAATATTCAATAAAACTGACAAGATATGATTATTAATGTTCTTAACTTTAAGTTTAATAACAAGTCAATTTACTCTAATTTTAAGGTTAACAACATAATCGATTTTATTGAAAGCAAATTTGGTATTTTGTATGTTTGTAAGACAGAAAACACATTTAGGCGTAGCAGCCACTTAATAAAAGTTAAATTTTTATGTAAATTTCAATGTTTTTGTAATATTAAATTGGTATTTATTTACACTTAATCGAGGTATTGACATTTAAAGCTATAATAATTAATTTTTGCTAGATTTAATGGCATAAATATATGTTGGTATTGGTATTTATTTCTAAAAATATTATTTTAAACTAGACAATCTAAGCATACAAAAAGTTTTACTAATTTCTTGATCATTTTCTCTTTTATTTAATAATAGGTAATTAACGTAATCCTTAAGAGTTCAATTATTACAGATATTATTACAAAAGTATTTAATTTTGTTTAATATTTATTATTCAGTATGTTTAAATTTTGATTTTAACTCAGTTTTGGATTTATAGATACTTGTTTTTTTTATTGATAAATTAAATAACTAAAATAATCAGAAACAACCTAAGTATTTATGGATTTTAATAAATATTACCCCATCATATAAATGTACTAATTGTTTGTGTCTTAATTATATATTTATTACCATAAATAATAAATTACAATTGTGTTATGTATATAATATAATATTCAATTTGATCTTATGTATAATGAGAAATTACTATAAAATGATCAAATGTTATTTTCATGTCTGATAAAGTTGAGCAGTCAAAACCCATTTTTTTTTTTATTAAATTATTCATATTAATTTATATTTATGATTTGCATAATATCTAGTAAAAGCTATCTAACTTTATTTTAGAGATAAATATGAAGTTTGGTAAACATTTTTGTGTATTTATTTAAAAAATTCTCCTCAGATTCTAAAATTAAAATTATTGTAACATTACTACAAAATGATTATTCAATAGAAAACGATGATTTAGATTTTAATACAATATCCTAATATTATTTCAGAAATATTTTAATATCAAGTTGTAATACACAGTAAGTCTAACTCGTATGTATAAATTATAAATAGTTCAATTTTAGTATCTATAATGTTTCTTATGTAGTTCGTCTGTAAAATGTACCTAAATATACAATGTTATTAATTATACAACATTTTGTAAGTGAAGATCAGCTCAGAATAGGTTTTCACTTTTCAGATAGTATAATTTATATCAAATAATATAATAAAAAAATTCAAATATTAATACAGAGTACGATATAATTACTTAGTATGAAAAATCTTTAGTGCGTTGAGACTTGAGCGTATTATGGCTTATGTTCAAAATGTTATACAAGTTGTCACCTACGAAATTGTTTAAGAACTTTAAATGAAATTCGTCACTGGCGTACATTAATAAACGGCTGATAACCGTATTTGAATTTATTAGGTGTTGATAACTGTTTTTTTGAATGTATGTTTATGTTTATCTAACGTTTTGTCCCATCACATAGATGTACCGGTGGCCACCGCGGAAAAAGATCCGACTGGGCAACAGAAAAAACCCGGAGGGAATGGCATATCGTCTTTGGATCTGTACCACTCGATGGAGATGGGTGAACAAGAAAGGCTTGAAAACCTTGGTGGCGACGACGATGAGGATGATAGCGAAAAAGATAGCGGTGCCTCGCTGCTATCAATGACAGGCGGTGGTGATGACGAAAATGACACCGACTCGGAGCATATGACCGGATTGCTGACTTGCATGTCATGTTCGGGCGTGTTGCCTGCGTGGCGAGACGAGCAAAACGCTCACATAGATGAACAGTCTTATTGTTTGTCCGATCGGGGCCAGCCATTAACGCAAGACGGCAGTTACCGGGATGAAGAATTAAACGTGTGTTCCGGGGCCGTGCGTGTAAGTATTATATTTATTATACTAATAGTATGATAATATGTACAGTCCTCAAACACACCCGCCCCTTCAGTCCAATTGCAATAGTGGCATATAACTAGTCTGACAAACCTCTTACTGCATCGGCGATATAGATCATCAATTACGCAACCTCCGCCACAGTGTCATTTTTTAATATTTTTTTTCTTAATAAAACTTGTATTGCTACCGACTCATTACTAAATTTGAAATATTTGGTTATTCGTATAGAATTCGATTTGTGATATAAAATATAACTATAATAAAGTATATAATATTGCAACATAACGTACCATCTAGAAAAAGCGTTTTACATTTTCATCAGATCGAAAATCAAAATGAATGGCCAAATAATGACTTATATACCTTTTTATTGTATTAATAGTGTCATATAACCTATACATTAATTATAAATTGTAACATAAATATACATGTATTTTAAGTAAATCGTTTTTATAATCTCCACTCCAAATAATTCTCAAATCATTTAAAAGTACCTATTTATATTTTAAATTTTAAATTATAATACTAATGTAATTATACCATATAGTGCTATTGATAATTGAAGAATGTGGAACATTGTTGACATCTAAACACTTAAGATTTGTTTTAATTAATGTCAAAATCGTCATAAATTGTTATTTGATTTGACTTTTGGATATAGCCTAGAAATTGAAATAACCAAAACATATTTTTTACGTATATTTTTTGATACAACAGATTATGTAGTATTGTAATTACAATTTTATCTTACTTTTTTTCACATTATTGTTTTTTTAGTGCTGGAAAGCAAAAGTGCGTGAAGAACACGGTCTTGTGCGCATCAGTCGTGGCTGTATGGCCGGTGGACATAGTGGTGGAAACAGACATTCAACCCTATACAACTTGGAACATCAATCACTGCATCCTTGTATGGGTGCTATTAGCAATAATTCGGCGACAAAAAACAATGATACCTCAAAACAACAATCTCAGTCCATGGTTTGGACATCGTCGCATACTTATTCATCAGCGTCCGCCGGCAAGCAACAGCCTCCTAGCTATGCGATCGAATGTTGCACTGGTCGTGATCGCTGCAATGACGGCTTGTTCCCATCGTTGGCCGGTAGTGGCTTAACATCAGGGATCGACGAAAATGATTCTTTGCTCGCAGCTGTTGCCTGGTGGCGGTTGTCATCCATTTCCGTAGCGGTGTTACTACTCGTTGTCGTTATCGTGGCTACAGTTACTTTGACGGTCTTCGCGTTATACAGAAACGATAGAAAGGGTAAAAAGAGAAAACGTCGAAAGAGGAGCAAAAGCAGCAGCAGTAGAAGAAGTAAACGACGAAAGCGGAGTAATCGCCACTACGAGGATGGTAACAGTGACGACAGTGATAAAAAGAGACACCGAAATTTGTCATTTTCGTCAATGTCATCGTCGTCTTCGTCGCTATCATCAGTGGCGTCGTCGTCTTCTTGTTGCGAAGGAAAGAAAAGAAGTAGAAGAAAACATCATGTGACCGCTTTAACCATGGTCGACTTGCTTAAGGGCGTCGTTGTAACCAACGAGGTAACAGCTGACAATGAAAATACATTTGGCAGTAGCAACAACCGACCGTCGTATACAGCAGACTACTCACCAGCGGCCATGACTGAATCTACAGTTGATGACGAATTTTTGCCACCACCATACCAACAACGAAATGACCATCAACAAAAAGATCACCAAGAAGATGATTGGACCAGTGGCAGCGGATACGGCATGCCCGTACTAGTTCAACGTACTTTGGCCAAGCAGATACAACTCAGACAACTGGTCGGCAAGGGTCGTTATGGTGAGGTGTGGCGAGCTACTTACTGGAATGGCGGTCACGAACACGTAGCTGTCAAAATATTCTTATCGAAGGACGAACCATCGTGGAAGCGAGAGACAGAAATCTACAGGTATACTTAATCTATTAATTTTCGTATGTTTAGTATACCCAAATACCGCCTACTATGACATTATTATTAATTGTTTGATTAAATTATAGCACGGTTCTGATGAGACACGACAATATATTAGGTTTTATTGGTTCCGACATCATGACTTCACGTAACTCGTATACCACACAGTTACTACTCATCACTCACTATCACCGGCATGGATCACTGTACGATTTTCTACAGACACCCGCTGCCGTCGCTGATGCTACGTACAATGGTTATGACATGGGCACTATCGATGCTGCGGGTGGTCGACTACAGCAAACCGAGTGCGATAGACCACCACTCACGGTGGGCCAAATGTTAAACGTGCTATACACTGTAGTTAGCGGGCTATGTCACCTGCACACTGAAATTCACGGCACGCAGGTAACATTTATGCAACTTTTTTCAATTATTATCAATTATTTAGATCATATACAAGTATTTAACTAATTGACATCCCTATGTAAATACGTTATATATTATAACTTACAATATATATCGTAGCACCTCATTTAAATCTTATTTGTGCCGATACATAACAACTTTTAAACGTCTCAATCAACAATGGTATCATCTTGTCTTATCTGTGTATCGATGCAATATTTACATTTTTGAACGTGTTTATTTGTTTTATTTTTTGAATAGGGTAAACCGGGAATCGCACACAGGGACATTAAAAGTAAAAACGTACTAGTAAAATGCGCACGGACAGGTGCGTGTTGTGTAGCCGATTTTGGAATGGCCGTTACTAGCCGTGACGCGACACTCCCAATTCAAACAACTACAGCCGCGGGTGCCAACCAAAATACACGAGTTGGTACAAAGCGGTACATGGCGCCAGAAGTTTTGGACGACAGGTAAGATATAGTTACCTATATAGAATTGTAGTGTAGTCACGTTTGATCAATATAATCATTGAAACTGTTTTAATTTTATTCAATATATTATGTTTCCAGCATATCCTCTGCGGCCTCTTTAGCATTAGCTTCTGCGTCCACTTCGGCGACGGCGAAGTCATCAGTTGCCTCCTCTTCTTCCACGGCTGCATCTGTCGCCGCCGCCGCTTCTTCTTCATCAGCGTATTGGTGTTTCGACGCATATCGCCGCGGTGACGTATACTCGTACGCACTCGTCATGTGGGAAGTCCTGTCCAGGACGCTTTTCATACCCGATGATGCTGGACACCTCCCACCACAACCAAATGACAATCAACAACAACCTTTCAATGACAACAGATATAACCCATATGTGTACCGCGCACCATACCAAGACCGTGGTGTTGGATGGGATCCCGGATTCGATGACATGCGTCGTGTTGTATGCTCTACCGATCCTATACAGAGCCGTCCTGGCGTGGCGCCTGAGTGGTTAACAAATCCGGTAGGTTTTTTTGGGTTTCTCAACATTTTCTCTATCTGTTATTTTAATTAAATTACCATTTTAGTTTCGGGGAATATATCCTATTATAATGAATATTGACAAATGACATAATTTAATGATTGTTTTTTTTTTTTTTTATATATATATATATATATATATAGATAATGAATGCTGTAGTGGTAACGATGCGAGAATGCTGGCACGGTAACCCTCATGCCCGTCTTCCCTCTTTACGTGTTAAAAAGACTCTAGCTAAGCTCATTGAACAATATTCCACGGCAGAGACTGAAAAGCAACTCAAACCAGAGCCCGAACAATAGACAATATTGATGTCTGTGACAACGAATCAGTTATGATGTAATATACATAAATGTAAATAATAATTACTATTAACATACAGATATAAATGACAGTGGCTGCGGTGAAAAATTACTTTACTCAAAGAAATATATTGTATTTTCTCTGCTCCCTCCTCCACTTGTTCATTCTTACTATGTTGTTAGTCATGTACTTTTTTTTTTTTAAACAACTACGTACTATTGTTATATTATGTTCAATACAATTTTTTTAACATTAATAATTATAAACTACCTACTATTAGTATTTATTTTTTCGAAAATTTTGTCATTTTTCAATAACATGTTATTTTAATTCACTTATTATTCATTTTTTAACTCTGAGTTAGTTTAATACTTTCCCATAATTACTGTATAATAACGTTAAATATATCATTAAAAAGAAACATACAATTTAGGTCCTAATTGATATATTATGATTTATATGACTTTATGCAATAATATAAATTATAGGTAATTATTTTAATTGATAGTTACAAATAACAAAAATAAAAATTACTGTTATATGTTATTGAAAACTTAAAATATTTTAATATACTTAATAACGATTTTAATGAGCATAAATGTAAGTGATGGAGTACAATATTTTTTTTATTGTCATTTGAATACCAATATATTGTAATATCTAAAATAAATTTTTTAGTGATTTTTTACACTCTTGATAAAATGTTTTAATATATTTATTATCCTTTATTATGTATTCACATAATTAAAAAAAACATTATCATAAATAAAATAGTAATATGAACGGTATAAAATAATATTTGGCTATTTATACTTATAATAAAATGTCTGATATCTGATTAAATCATTACATTAATTTGCTATCAAATTCAAATAAACAATTTAAATTATATATAATTTCTAACATATTTATATTTCCATCAAAATCATTGTTGCATGTTGATGTGCTTAATTTCATTAATGTCAGAAAATGTGTTAGATGTCAATATTTTCATCACTAATAAATTGTATATAAATGAAAACATTATATCTCTACATGCACTTTTCGACTTATATATAAAGTACAATAATAAATTATGGTGATACATATTTTGTTTCTAAAAGACCAATCAAAAATAACAGTGAATAAATAAATTCAATTTACGTTAAGAAAGAACCTCAGCAATGATCATTTTTTTTTTAGATAGTGGTCACTTTTCAGGCAATACACCCTTTTAAGTCTTCTATCTTTATGCCTGCTGTGTACAGAACCCACACATTTGCGCACAATTTAGCCGACAAGTTCATTTTTAACGAACATAGAATAAAGAATTCATCAATTGAACAAGAAATATTAAGACAAATTTATTATCTCAACCATTGCTAATTAACATAAAATTCAATAGAATAATAGTAATTGGTCATGTTGAATTAATAACTAATGATAATTTCACTAAAGAAAATTTATTATTTCACATCAATATTTTTGTGTTCTAAAGATAACTATATATTTTTTTATAGTAAAAAAATAAATTGCTTTTAATTTTTATAATTTTTGAATCAATGAAACTATGTTTACTAAGCTTTAATTTTGTACTAAAAAATTTTAAAATGTTTCACAGTAATTACTAATAACTATTAGATAATCTAATAAATTATTAAACCTAGTTGTATAGTACAAATTACAATAATCAGTACACAATTTATTAACATTGTCTTGGACAAAATTTTTTATTTGAAACTAATGATTATTAAACTTAAACATGAAATCTAAAATCAATAGTTAGGAAAAAATTAACTATATTTTATCATCATAAAACTTTATAAGTTGAAACTATAAAATTCATAAAAACTACTTTTTTATAATTTGTTGAGTATTATTGAGAATAAGAGCAAGAAAATATATTTTATATTAAATTTAAAAACATATACAGATAACGGATCACAAAATTCAACTGATTGTCTATATCCATACAATTATATTATTTAGGTATTATAAAATGCCACTTCCATGATATAATAAATGTGCATAATTAGTATTTATAACAACATAACTAATACTTTTATAATATTGCATTTGTATACCTACTAGGTAACTGTGAAAGGTAGCATAAAAAAGTTCTCTCATTTTAGTACTATAGATAAAATATTAATACTCAGATTAATAGGAATTTAATTAATACATTATTATTGTCTATCCATTGAAAATTAAAATAATTTTGAAAGAATTAAAATTGTTGTAATAATAAATAATTAAAGAAAGACTAAATAAGTGGAAATAGGTATTATTGACCCAATTATTTAGAATTTTCTGATAAACAAAAAAAAAAAAAACAACAATGATTAACGATATTATTATTAAAACTAATTAAAAAATAATCTGGAAAACCTTTTTTTAATTACCAATAAAAAAATTTTATTTCTAAGTATTTTCTAATAAATAAAGCAAATATGGTGTATTGTGGTATTGTGTAATGTAGTAAAATTTGATTACGACTGAAAAAAATCTATGAGTAAATCATCTAAATAAAAATCTATGTGTATAAAAGTTTCTATAAACTAAAAAATATTAAAAAAATACTTCAGGGATACTGTATAGACTATCTTATAAACTTTTATGTTAATATAAATGCCTTACAAACTAATTCATTTCGTTGGTTTACAATGAGTAATGACATAATCGGGAATGTAATTCCGTATTAATTAATTTATTTGCATAAAATCAGATGACGAACACTTACCTAAACAAACCATTAACCAAGGCATATAATAGTCAACAAAATACGCTGTTGTATATTCTTAGTAATTTTTCACAAAAATTATAGTTTTGTATAAACTAAAACCAAATTGTCTTCGAATTGTTATAAAACCATCAAATGTTCACAGACTATAGTTTATAGAGAAGAACTTATAAAGCAGAGACTAAAATATATATTTTTTAGTATTACACACTTTATATTCAACTTGGAGTTACCGTGAGGGGCTCTTTCTTTTCTCTAACTTTTTCAAAATAAGCATTCATTTTATTTTTAATATTACTTTCAACGTTAGTGTGCCCTACAGGAATGTTATTATTAGTACGATTGTAATAAGTTGTAACAGTAGATGTAGTTGATTCAATTTTTAATTTTTTTATTAGTCACTTATACATTATTAATATTTTAATATTGTAATATACTTAATTTTTCAAAACCAATAATGAATAAAGTATAAACGTAAATTGATTAAATAAAATCTTAAGTCTTGGGTTCATAGATCGTCGTTAACTAATAATTATTAGTTTAATCATATATTATTTTATCATACACTAAACATAATACTATACTGTAAGATTAATCAATGTTTTAATAATACAATAAACATTCTAAAAATAGCAATATTTATGGATAATATAAGAAAGTAAACAAATAGTCAAAATATTGATAACATAGATATTGGATGGTATACAATATACATTAAATTCTTATCTATTTCCCAGCAATAATTTTTAAATTAATGGAGAACAAACTATAAAAAAGGTTATTAGTTATTACAGGTCATTAGGTGCACACTTTTTAATTTCGTATTACACACTTGGCAATTTGTACTACACACAATTTTAGTCCCTGCTTATAGGTAGAATACAGAATGTACCAATAAGTTTATATTTCATGTATATTATATCAGTGTACTTACACATAGTAACTTGTGTACCGGCGCATCGTCTATTGTACTTATTAGACAATAAATCAATAACCACTTTAAAGTCGGTTTGACGAGATGCAATTTTTAATCAATAGATGAAGTAATAACATTTGACTAATTTAAGGTTTTTACTGCAACAAATTATGGTAAAAGTAAAACATAAAACTTTATAATTTTACTATTAATCAATATAACTATTTATTCGATGTTAAACATCCAATATAAATTTTGAAAATCTGGCCAAAAATAAATCTACTTTATTAGGTATATAGTAAATTTATAAATAATAAAATTGAATATTGTCACATTAAATAGTTTTTTGATATTGTCATTTGTCAATACATTATTTAATACTTAAATTTATTTATATTTTCTACTGTAATTTATCTAATACATAGTTAATAATTATACTAATATATAATTTTGAGTATTCGTTATTGTGCTAGCCAACCAACTACCAAGTACTAGTTTCGTGTCGTGTGTACGTGTATTCGCATTAGTTGGCCACTATTGTATAGATTTCACAGCAACCAGGTATTAGGTACAATTGGTACAAACTCAACAAAGGATATTTTTGATATTTTATAAATTATTTCATTAGCAAAAAGAGTGATTAACTATTATACTTGCCAAATGTATAAGTATATTATATACCTACGTCCTACACAAAATAAAAATATATATCTACATACATATAACATAAATCTATATTACATAAATATATTTAATATATTTAATCGGTAAAAAAAATTTGGTTTAAACACTTTAGTTTTATTCTACAAAAAATATAGAGTGAAAATTTCCAAGGAATATAATTTAACAGAAATTCAAGTAATGTTATCTTTTTTTAATAAATTTAAATTTAAGAAAGCACTTTAATAGCTTCTTTAATGTATAAAAAATATTAGATGAGTTTTTTTTACAATTAGGATATGCAATGTAGTTATGTAAGTACTTGTACTGACGGAATCGATGTACCTATTCAATTTTAATTCTCTGATTTGCTATGCTATTAATATATATAAAAAATAAATAAATACAATAGTAAGTACTATAAATAATAATTTAATCAAACAAATCGTATTTAGCTAACTGATATTTGGTAAGGATAAAAAAATTAATAAAATAAATTAAGCTTTTTTTATTCTTTAAATATTTAAAAAATATATCTGTTTATTAAATGTATATGATGAAACCAAAAGATACTGCAAAAAGGTATATTATTATCAAAATGGTGCAATATGAATTTATGGAACATGTTGAAATAAAGATTTTTGGGACACCGTAGGTAATAAAAAAATGGGTCGCCTAGACTTACTAGTGATTTAGTCGTTATATTATAACTATACCTAAAATGTGGGTACGCAATTTATTATAAAATGAAACTAACTGCATGTGACGGCATCCATGGTAACTATAACGAATAGATAAAATAAATATGAGGAACTGACTACCTATCTATAATAGATGTATGTCATACTACTCATACTTATGATTAGGTACCTATGTTGTTAGGTTCCTAGGGTAACGATAATAATGAAAATTCAACAAAACATTTATGTGACTTTTTTCTTTATTAAAGTTTTCTCAATTTCCCTA